GATTGCCAACAAAGAAAAGGAAGGCTGGAATGGTCCCTTCTGCGTTTGTAGCCGTCGTCGTTCAGTCAGGCTCAAATCAGAGGTCTGAAAATGTAGGATTTGAACCCGAATTTGGACATTGAGTATTAATCTTAACCGTGCATCACTGACTCGTTGGCATATCGACTGCAGACGGAAGTACTAATTATACGCATAAAACATATTGTTGAAAAAAAAAACATTTCAAAAATCTTATTAGAAAAAGGACTAAGTTCCTTAAGAATGAGTACATTTTTTGCGCAAATGTTCGAATCTGGCACTGCATTACGTCTCCAGACGAATGGGCAATTTTCCGAAAACAGTTAACTCTAGACCAGACCCAAAATGGGACTCTGCGGTTGGCTGCAGTTAATGCCAATAAGCGCCCAGCGTCTTCAGTCAACCGGTAAGTACTGGCTGAGAAATTCGTAAGTGGCATTTAAATCGATATGCCTATTGATGCACGTAACACGTGAGTGAATTGTTTTCAGGAACTCACGGTCCTTCATTATTGGCCAGGTGCCATCAGTGTGGGTTTTGTCCCATGTGAATATGTGCCCAGTGTCCAGTATTTCCATAGCTAGCTGCAATAAATTGTCTCATCTCTTCAAGGTTAGCCTGTATTCGTGTATGCCGATGGCTAGGGATTTAGTGGTCTGACCAAAAAAGGCAAAATCGCAACTTATTTATGGTATCTGTGTAGATGGTCAAACCTGTCGTCAGGCTGTAGAGCCTGAATGCGCAAGGTTTTCGGCTTGTAAGCTAATTATGTTTGGTTTGGGGCTGTCTTTTAGCGAGCTCGGATATATTTTTCACATAAAGGAGTGTTCGTCAGCCGGTTGGCTTTGGCTTCTGGGTGGTCACATATATGAAAATACCTTTATTTGGTCAGTTGTCACTGCACGCATAGACAAACGAAGGATATTCATTCTGGGGAAATAGCTCGACTTATTTACCTATTAGCGGAGCTGAGTTTGTGGGACTTGGGCTGGTTGCTTCCAAAATAGCCAATGCCCTCGCAGTATGTAACCTTGCGATCAACTGAAATCTGCAAATTTCCGTCAGTCTTTTTCACTGTGACGACATTCATAAATAGGGGATGTCCGTCTACCTACGTCTCGAGAGTAAATTGAATTCCAGAAAATTGGTATTGGGATTGTTGTGGGGTAGTTTCAGCAAGTCCTTTTGACAGAAGCAACTGTATCGTCTACGGAGCTCAGCCAAAATTTCTGGTTAAGAATGAAGAGATGTAGCCTCCAATTTTTGCCTCAGCTTCCTCTAAAAAGCCGGATATTAGTGAGCCCACAAGGGCGCATTTTATTGGCTGATAGTATTGTCGATAAAGAAAAATTTACTTCCTGGCAATGATCGAAAATTTCAAGGACGGCGTTCGAAGGTAAATTAAGAGTGAAGACCTACAGAAATTCCCTGTTTCGGCTTTTTGTTATGTCCAAGGGAATAAACGTAAATAGAGAAAAGACGTCAAATGACACCAGTATCTCGCCATTTGCAATTTTGAAGTTCTTAGTTCAAAATAACGTATAGACGGATTCAAGGCTTAAAATCCAATTAGAATTTAAGGCATTTTTATAGTCCCTCAAAAATTGTCCCGAAAGTAGATTTACCTAGGCGGTAATGAACCAAGGTCATTGTGTTTTTTGTGAACCTGGGGCGTGGTGGTACGTCTGGGTGCGGGTCCGGCTGCGCTAGTCAATTGAACCCTCTCCTGTCTATTGTTTTCATAACTATGGCTTGACACCGGGCCTTGTTGTGGGATAAAGGGGTAAAGTAACAGATGCTGCGAGATTCTACGATTACTATAAAATAAATCAGGCACAAATCAGCGTGACCGTTTTCATTCTGCTGTAGAACTATAAGTGGACATTGTCGATCACGACATTCGAACTGTCAACGACCCAAGGGGGAAAGTCATAGTGTTATCCAAGCGGATACGAGAACACCATCCTGCCTGTCTAAATTAAGGTGGGAGAAAAATCAATCTCTAGTGCAACTTTGGCTCACTTGGTTGACAGTAGCTACCTCGTAGACGTCAAGTAAGCATTCCGAGTCATCTATAAAGTGCCGCGAGACACTCCAGATTCCCGCGTCAGTGAATACTTGCGACGGCAGAGGCGGAAATTCAAAGTGTCAACGGTTCGATTCTGCCTGGCGGCAGGCCTTTCCTCGCCAAACTGAACATTTAGCACGCAACTAAAGGGCAGCTACTCTAGGACTACGATCGGTATTCCAATTGGGAAATCCTGCTCAACAATCTCGTCACATAAATATTCTATCGCCTCCGTGAGGGGATCAAGGACAAGACATCTGTGGATGATATCGTTTTCAATTTGAGATTCGTATTTCTTAGGGAGTCAATAAGTGCATATTGCTGTCTCGAATGATGGAAACCATGCTACTGATCTATTGTGACTTTGGATACTGTAAATAATGAATCGTGCAAGAAAGGTTTAACACAAATTTCGAATTTGGTTGCGGTCCAGTTTAAACACACGATACCGCCTTCAAGTAGAAAAACAAAGGGTCAAGCTTCGTTAGTGCTGTCGGCTTGTACTTACCGTAGACCATAAAGTTGGTCTGTATCTCGCCCATCATTTAGACACTGCTTGCCTGCTTGAAGTTTCGCACTCACGAACACCCGTTCAGTTAAGTTAACGAAAAACAATTGGTAGAAGCGTGTCTCATGAGAAAACATGGAAAGGGCAATACACGAATTTCTACAGTTTTGTCCCTCTAAGCCAGAAACGAAGCTTGATCCACTGCTCTACCAACCGAGCTAGGAGAATATGCACTCCAGATACGCTCTGAAGGAAAACGGCTACCCCAAAGGGTTTATCAACAAATTTATGAAGAACACCTTCCAAAATCTGATGTGTCTGCAGCTGAGAAGCAGTTATTTCTCACACAGCCATTTCGAGGGATCAAGCAAGCGAACTTCTATATCGCCGCTTAAACGCTGCTATCACGCGCACATATCCAGTCGCTAAGATAAGACTAGTATTCACAAGCCCTCCGCTTCTTCGCCTTGAAGGGAAGGATAGACTGCCTTTTTAGACCTCTTCGATGTGCGTCTAAGCCTTCACTTACTCCTGCGAGGGACAGGTTATACTGGTCGAACAACCAGGCGTCTATCCAAGCGGTCGCAAGAGCGCCATCCTGTCTGGTTAAGTCGAAGTGTGGAAAAGTCCATCTAGAGCGAAATTTTGGTCCACCTGATTGACAGACAACTAGGCATTCCGAGTCACCTATAAAGTGCCGGCGAGACACTCCAAGTTCCTGCGTCAGCGGATACTTGATACGGCAGAGGCATTGGTCATTCGGTTAGACAACCCAGCCTTGTTCTTACATAAGGCGTTTGTATAAGTGCTAAGGCTCCCCTGGGCAAAGACAAACCCAGCATATGTATTCACACTCGTCACGTTGCGTTACAGCGATGAAAGAGGGACAGCTAATTGCCAGACGCCTTCCCCCCCCCCTCCCTAGGCCGCAGACAGAACTAGAATCGGACCCCTGACCTCTGAATGCCCCTCAATCCTCTCCCCCATACTGACTTTTATTGGCTGTTTAACTGTATGTGTTCTGATAGAAGCGAACAGGCGAGTCTCAGGTAGCAGTTCAGAATATGAAGATGCGATCACTGGGACAAGAAGTTTATTTGCCTGACGTTTCGGATTCTCACTCGAATCCATCATCAGAGACATTCGCAGATAGAGGTGAAGGTGGCACCAGGAGTGCAGTATTTATAGCACGTGGCTGCCGTGGGACCGTATGCGCACTGCAATTAACAGTTCTCACAATCGCCGCTGGGGTCGTAATTGATGCGGCGGTGGCTTGGCGGTCCGAGTCCTAGTTGTTCATCGCCGCGATTTCGTCATCCGTGCTCGATGCTGGTGTGACGATTGCTCGGCAAACTGGCTCACTGTCACCGTGATAATTGCTCACCCGCGCCCTCCCCACGTGACTGATTCTCCTGCCCAGGGAAAATCGCAATACGGAATAGGGCACCGGGAGGTCATTGTGCTTGTTGATGGATTGCGGGCCTGAGAACCATGACTCGAGCAGCTCGCGGCTCACGCGGAGACCATGACGATTCCAAACTGTGCTTTGGAGGCGACCGAAGGCTTGACTGGCTTTCGAGATCCTGTTGGCGACTTCGTCGTCGATCTTGGTGTTGCGGGAGAGCGTACAGCCCAGGTACGGGAAGTTCTCTACCACTTGCAGTTGAGTCCCATTCACGTTGATTTGCGGCGCGTTGGGGGCTGTGGCTGAGTTGGGAGGCGGCTGATGCATCACCACCGTCTTCCGCGTGTTGATAACCAGCCCAAAGTTCTCGCAGGCGGCGGAGAATAGGTCCATGCTCCGTTGCATCTCCACTTCTGAGGTGGTGTTCAGGGCGCAGTCGTCGGCGAAGAGGAGTTCGTGCACGGTGGCTGTGGATACACGCGATTGGAAGTTCATGCGCCGGCGATTCAGGAGATGACCGTCCGTTCTATAGGCGATGCAGATTCCAGGGCGTTCGTCGCGGTAGGCATCCATCAGCATGGCAGAGAGCATGAGACTGAAGAGGGTAGGCGCCAGCACACAGCCCTGCTTCACTCCGTTGGTCACTGCGAATGCCTCTGAGACAGCTCCGTTGTCCGTGACTCGCGCCATCATACCGTCGTGCAGCTGACGCACCATCTGAGTGAATCGCTACGGACAGCCGAATTTCTGCATGATCTTCCACATTCCTTCACGATTCACCGTGTCGAAGGCTTTCGTCAGGTCCACGAAGGTAGAGTACAGGTGGATCCGCATCTCCTGGCACTGCTCCTGAAGTTGGCGGGCTGCAAAGATCATATCCGTGGTCCCACGATGACGACGGAAGCCGCATTGGCTTTCCGGCAGAAGGCCCTGTTCCAGATGGTTGTTGAGGCGGTTGAGCAGGATGCGAGCGAAGATCTTCCCGGCGATGTTCAGTAGGGAGATGCCGCGGTGGTTGTCGCAGACTTGGCGATTCCCTTTGCGCTTGTATAGGTGCACGATAGTTGCGTCCTTGAAATCTTGCGGGACTTCACCTTGACGCCACATCTCCTGGAAGAGCGCAGTCAGGTGATCCATCAGTAGGGGACCTCCGTGCTTGTAGACCTCAGCAGGGATTGCGTCCGATCCAGGTGCTTTCCCGCTGGAGAGCTGCTGCACGGCCCTGATCGTTTCCTGGAGAGATGGCGGGAGGTCGAGGTCCGCGTTGGTCGCCACTTGCGGCAAGCGGGCGATGGCGGCGTCGGAGATGACGGAAGGGCGGTTGAGGACGCCTCGGAAGTGCTCGGCCCATCGCTGCAGGATTTGCGTCTTCTCAGTCAGGAGAGTGCTACCGTCGGCGCTGAGGAGAGGAGCAGTGCCCTTCGTCGGCGGACCGTAGACAGCTTTGATCGCGGAGAAGAAGTTCTTCCATTCGTTGCGGTCCGCGTAGCCTTGGATCTCCTCAGCTTTGCGAGCAGTCCAGGCGTCCTGTATCTCGCGCAGCCGTTGCTGAAGCTATCGGCGACTGCGGTAGAAGGCAGCTTTGTTGTCCTCAGTGGGGTGATCTACGTAGGCTTTGTGTAGGCGGTTCCTCTCGGCAAGCAGATTGCTGATGGCAGCGTCGTTGTCGTCGAACCAGTCCTGGTGTTGGCGGGGAGCGCGACCGAGGACGGCGAGCGCCGTCGACTGGACCGTGTCAAGCAGTTGACACCAGCGGTTCTCCACGGAGGCGTTCTCGGCAGCGGCGGCGGCGTCGTCGGCGGCGGCAGCGATAGGAAGGTTGTCTAGCCGTTGAACTAGCTCATTGCTGAAATGGAGACGGTGAGCAGACAAAGACAACAAAGCAACATTCAGCTTACCTGGGGGTCGCTTACCTTGTGGTCTCCTGCGAGGCTGTAGGCGAATACGCATCTTCGAGATGACGAGGCGATGGTCGGTCCACCCGTCAGCACCCGCGGTCGCCTTCGTCACCAGCACGTCCCGCTGATCTCGCCTCCGGACGAGGACATAGTCCAGCAGGTGCCACTGACGCGACCGAGGATGCCTCCAGGTGGCCTTCTCTCGCACCGGCAGACAGAAGAAGGTATTCGTCAGGGTGAGGCGGTGTTCTGCGCAGGTGCGGAGGAGAAGCAGGCCGTTGTCGTTGGAGCCGCGGAGACCGTGGGGACCCAGCACTCCCCTCCAGGCAGTATGGTCTGTGCCGACGCGGGCGTTGAAGTCACCAAGGACAATCAACTTGAACGCCTTCGACACAGTCGCCAAGAGGGCGTGCAGGTCCTCGTAGAATTTGTCTCTGACGGCGTCGGGGTTGGTCATCGTCGGAGCGTAGGCGCTGATGATGGTGGCGAATTCGCCTCCCCAGAGAGGCAGGCGGAGGCTCATCAGGCGATCGTTGATGCCCTGCGGCAAACAGGGCAGTCGTCCCACGATGTCGGTCCGGATGGCGAAGGCGACGCCCGCGTCTCGTCGCTCTGCCCTGGGTCGGCCACTCCAGAAGAAGGTGTAACCGGCACCCACCTCCTCCAGTTGGCCTTGTTCGGAGAATCGGGTCTCGCTGAGTGCGGCGATGTCGACCTTGTAGCGCGCCAGTTCTCGTGCCACTAGCGCCGTCCTCCGTTCTGGTCGGTTGCTCCTCGGACTGTCTAAAAGGGAACGAACATTCCAGGCTGCCAGAGTGAGCGGGCTCACCCTGCCAGTCTGGGGAAAACGAGTGGGGCGATGGGAAGGAGGTGGAGAAGAAGATGACGAAGGAGAAGAATAGGCAGAAGAATAGACGGAGGTAGAGGTAGAAGAGGTAGGATGAGGAGAATGAGTATGGTTGTTGTTGTTGTTTCGAGTTTGATTGTTTCGACCGTGAGTTTTGCGTCTGCGACCTCGGTGCGCCAGCAGACGACGTGGTTCCCCAGCAATTTTTAGGCCAGCTTTTCCGGGCCCCCCCGAAGGAAGCAGTGCCCTGACCCCTGAATAGGGCTGCTTGATGTGCCGGCGCGGCCGAACTCCACTGTGGGCCACGAGTTTTTTTGGCAGTGGAAGAACGACTCGAATTTGCCAATGGCTTACGGCATTGCCGCAAGCCTGCGGTCTCCTACGGTGCACCAGATGGGCGCGTGTCGACGGTGTCAATTCGGAGATCCATCCCACCGGCAGATCAACGGCGTACCAGGCGGAGCCTCGTCTCGACGATGCCGATGCGACGTTCCACCACCAACCGGCTGACCAGCGGTGTGCCAGACAGGGCCTCGTCACGACGGCGCCGACGCGGTGTTCCATCCGACCAACCGTCCACGGAGTCCGCAGTCACCTGTGCACGCGGCACAACGCACACAGGGAGTAACCGCCCTCACCTGGCTTAGCCCGCCGGTCGAGACGGTTGCCCGGGGTGTGGCCGCTGAGCAGAGCCCAGCTACGTGGAGCCACAGGTGAGAGTTGAGTGCCAGCAAGTGGACGCTAGGCGTAGTCTCACCTGCAAGCAAGTGAGCGACCACTACGACCTTCACGTGAACCCACCGCTGACACCCCTACACCCCAAATCGCGGCGATTAACAACTAGGACTCGGACCGCCAAACCACCGCCGCATCAATTACGACCCCAGCGGCGATTGTGAGAACTGTTAATTGCAGTGCGCATACGGTCCCACGGCAGCCACGTGCTATAAATACTGCACTCCTGGTGCCACCTTCACCTCTATCTGCGAATGTCTCTGATGATGGATTCGAGTGAGAATCCGAAACGTCAGGCAAATAAACTTCTTGTCCCAGTGATCGCATCTTCATCTTCTGTATGTGTTCTGTCCTCACATTACTGTACAGGCCTGGCGATGAATAATCTAAAGCGTACGTTTGCCGGACTTGACTTCTTAAATTTTTATATGGGTATCATCGCGGTGGTGAGCCCATGTGACAGGTAAGCAGCCGTTGGGTTTAGCTACAAAAAGGGACTGCGCCGATCATTTCCGCAGTATACGTCATCGTCAGCTATTTATACCTTAGTCTGAAGCCAAGACAATCTCGTATTGGAATTCGGATCCTTGGAATAGCGAAATGCTCTCCTCTTCGAAAACGATTCGGTCCTGTGATCTGTCAAATGTGGTCGGCGGTCTGAAATTCCTTTCTCCACACAACTCGCGATTGGAAAGACGACAATACATCATGCTAACTAAACCTAGCCCGCGACTAAACGCTTTAAAATAAGGTTTTCAGCCAATTCAAAATCATGAACAGAGGAAGTTTGATGTTCTTGACGCGAGAGAGCTGACAAATCGCCTCTGTAACTATGAGGTTAAAAAATAAAAGTTTCCGGTATTACGAGGTTTGTGGTTTTTGTGTCAGAAATGAACGTTATCCATAATGGCTAGCAGTAAATTTGTCTGTCAGTTCAAGGTGTCTGCGTGATTGAAAACAGTACAAACCAATTGAAATTGAGGTTGTTTAAAATAAGCTTCGGTTCCTATGCCGGGCTCGGCGCAGGTCCCTGCAGTTCTAATCCATGTCAGCATCCATGCATATTAATAAGTTCCCAAGTTTGCGCATTTAGTCAGATGCAAATAGTAATTGATAGCTGCAGAAAATTCTCCCTTTAGTCATTCCCTTTCCGGAACGATGGATGCGTTAATGAGAAGGCAAGAGGGCTTTTTGTACTATAATTAAGGTTTTAACCACTTTTAAACTTCAGAACTTGAGGTAAAGGAGTCAAGAATCCCCTTAGGAAAATAAAAATGTTCTATGAGGCGGACGGGATTTCTCAAGAAAGATGCTAAATGAAACTGATATTTGACACCTGTGATTATCAGTTGGTCTGTGGACTCAGAGGTGTCCTTACAAGCATTGAAAATGCAACCAACTGGCTTGGAATATGAATGGAAATGCGCTAATATGCTTTCAGCTGGAGGAATTACCGAGAGGTGGTCGCAAGGCCTATTCACTTATAGCAGAATCAGACCCATGCTTACTTCTGTATACTTGAATTCTACCTGAGTAGCTGTTCATTTGTTGAGCGTTCGCCTCACTTATTTTTTGATAAATTCATTAGTCCTGCCACATTCACTAGAAAAAATGCAAGAAAGGCGTATTTCTTCCGCTCATTTTGTAGGATCTTTTATCCTTTGCAACTCACAATCTCGAGGGATGCACAGACCATGACCTCAAATAGTGTCAAACGCTAAATTCTTATTCGAGCTTCATAATAAAGAAAAAACTATAGTCTGCACGGTTCCTTCATAAAAAGTTCATGTATGCTTTCATGGTCCAATAAAGGAAAATCACGATGGCTTGGAAATATTACTAGCAAACATGGAGCCCATTTTGTTGCGAAATTGCATAAATGGACTGAAAGGTAAGAGCTGATTAAAATAAACATGTAACTCTCCACAGAATTGCGATTATAAATTGGAAAGAAACCTTCGGGGAAGCATTTTGGAGGAAGGAGATGCAATCACTCCTTCCGGCAATTCCGGCCTTAACGTTGGGTCTTTCAGTCTCATAAACTGGCACCTGATCGTTGCCTCCAATGGGCAGTCTCGCCTTCCGCTTTATTGCAATGCCTCTCGACGCTCGCGAAGAGCCGTTTTACGCAGATGCGTTTGTGGCTAATTGTGTGATGACTGTTAATGTTCAGTAGCTGCGTCGGCCTTGCTTTTTTTTCCCTGAACACATAAGCCGCCACAATCTTCTCGCGCTTTGAGAAAAAAAGGAAAAGCAGGTGGTCATTTGCTTCCTCTTACATCGTAAATTATTGATCCTGGAAGATATCACTAAAGTTTTTTTGAATATCAACAATGAATCCCGTTTAATGGCGACGAAGCTGTTGCTGCCCTATCCAGGCCGCAATTTTCATCTGTGGGGTTAGACGACCGGTAACTAAAACGATTATCGATATTCGCTAATCCAAGTATTGGTTTTTGCATTTTAAACTTGTTGAAAAAGTCTCATCTCCTAAACGTCTTGATTACCACCATTTCCGGTATTACAGTTGGCTTTTTTGGATAGACTAGGGAGGTACACATATCTGCGTTCGACCGAATAGGTAACTAGCAACCGCCATAGGATGCCACAGAAAGTGCGTGACCAGGTATTACTTCAGAGCAAATGAAAGCACTAAACACTTGCATATGTATGTCAGCTGGAACGTAGACCGCTTTTTCTATTTCCTACACGGAATCTCCTTCAGTGAGTTCGCTTAAAGCGACACCCCTAGTGAAATCACCGGCCTCAGATATTCCTTTAATTTATCTTAATCAGACTGAGGAGTTAAGAACAGCTGGGGTGATTTATTGCCGGTGACCCGTGCGCAGTGTACCTTTGTCAGCCTAAAACTAGACAGTCTCTGCGCCCAAAAACGCCTTGATTTCGTAGATTAATAACAACCCCACAGACGCGGAGGCCCTTTGTGTCTCCATTGACTTTTCCTACGGTTTCGTCACGGGCCCCTGGTCAGTGAAATAAATTTACCGATAATGAGACTAATTCCTTTAATCTTTATCGGCATTTTCTTTGGTTGTGCTGGGCGACGAATCTTCTTTGAGCGGTAAACTTCACAAAAGTATTAGGGTAAGAAACTAAAAATAAAACGGAGCCAAACGTTGGGCGAGCAAAAACCACCTGAACATGCAAACGACTGGCTAAGTGGAGTAGGTTTAAATGTGTATATACTTCTGACATGTGAGATAAGCGGTGGTCTAGGAAGGGGTTTAGGAATGATACTGTGTCCATGAGAGTCGGGTTATGTATCGAAGGCTCACCGCGAATAATAAAAAAACGCAAGTAGTTCCCCTCGCAATTCATGATTACTGGACGTGGAAACTAATGCAAAATTAACTAGAACTCCTAAAAAGTGTCTTTAATAGAGGCAAAAACTTGTTTTTGTCGGTAACCCTCCTGCATATATATATATGTTAAGTGAATAATTTCAGAAATTAACCAGTGCAAGACATGGATTTAAGTCTTCAGTACATAACTTTTTGGGGTCAGAACCGTAATTTCAATGAAAAATTAAGCCAAAGACAATTGACTACTGTGGAATAACCACGGGTTACCCATTCTGCACACGAATAACATTATGACTAGTATGAAATGTATATATTGAACGTATTATACCGTACTCCCGACATAGGCACTAGCCAAAAGCCCTGACACGTTTTTCGTCGATATTCTGTCGCTGTGTGACACAATTGCTTCTGAAATTATTCACTTGATTATTCCCTGGAGTTCATATATCAGAAAGTGCATAGGGAACACTGGCCCAGTGATGAACCGAGTCCCTCGCAGCTGTTTGAATGTAAATATATAAGGCTAATTCGAATAACCCAAGTGTCCTGCAAAAAATGTGCAAAGACCGGTATAATTTCGGTAAAAAAATGCTTTTTTTGTTTTAACTCTAAAGTATAAATAAGACAGGAGGATCTAAAATATTTGCATAGGGATGACACATATTGACCGTTAATATTTAAAATATTTTCGACTTATTCGAAAGAGAATAAACATGATATACACACATACACATACATAAAGCAAAAAAATTTAAGAATTATTCAGTGCAGGACATGGGTTTAGGTGTCTGGGGCATAATGTTTTGGGATCACACCCGAAATTTCAATGAAAATTCGCTTCGAAGACAACCAAATATTCCAGAATAGCCACGTAACTAGTACCTATGTCGGAAGTACGGTATAATACCTTTGGCATATATATGTACATAAGAAAAAGGAAGAGGTTCTTCGGAAAAAATCGAGTTGTACTCGTGAATTTTCGAATTGGTGACACCAACCCGTCGTCAGACGAAATGGAGAGAAAAGAGAGAGTGAGACAGTCACACTAGACTGATAGACGAGACAGGACAAACATTGGCGGACGAACCATTAGCGTGTGAGGAGGGATGCGGGTAGGGAGTCATGCTGGGTTCTGAGCCGGGAGGTTAGGAAGGGGGGGGAACCGTTACGGCTCCCCGTGTTGGAGGGGAGGGAGAATGGTAGGTTGGCAGAACTGCGGGTGCCTGGATTAGCGGCTGCTGATGCGGCGTGGGGCTCGGCTTAGTGAGGCGTGATCTTAGTCCCTATTAATGGGCGTCTAGGTCGACGTGGCGGTTGATGCTGTCCGCGTTAGAGTGCCATGCCTCTAGGAATTCTCTCGCCCGTTTTGTGTTGGCCGTGGCGATGACCTCGGTGTTATCCCAATTAAAACGGTGGTCACACTGGAGTGCGTGTGCAAAGACGAGGGACAGTGGATCACGGCGACGGACAGCTAGTTTGTGTTCATTAATACGAGTTCCCAGGCGTCGTCCTGTATGACCAACATATACGCAGGGACAATTGGCACACGGGATGCGATAAATGACGTTAGTCTGTTCACTTTGGGGATAGAATCCTTTACTCGAGTTAAGACTGTGCGCAGCGGTGATGCAGGCTTGTGGGAAACGCGAATACCGAACTGACTTAACTGACGGGCCATCATTTCTGAGGTCCCCTGCATATAGGGCAGGAAGAAGAATTTCCGGGTCACGGTTTCTCCATCTGAGGAGGGGTCTCGAGGTTGTGTCTGACGTCTAAGGCAGTTCTTCACGAAACTGACTGGGTATCCATTGGATCGAAATAGCCGATATAGAAAGCCTAGTTCTTTCTTCAGCAGGTCGTCATTGCTGCAATACCGGTAGGCCCGGTGGAAGAGGGTTCGGACGCAGCTTCTTTTGTGAGCCGCAGGGTGATTGCTTGCATAATTGAGGATGATCTCGGAATCAGACCCTTTTCTATGGACGCTGTTTGCGAGGTTACCGTCATCCAGCCTTTGTATTTTTACATCTAGAAACGACAGACTGTCTCCTACTGCCTCTTCGCGGGTAAATTGCATGGCCGGAAAGACTTCATTCAGCGTCCGATGTAGCCTTTCGACCTCGCGGTTCTTTATTACGACAAAGGTGTCGTCTACATAGCGGAGCCATATTTTGGGGTTGAGAGTTTGAAAAACCTCATGTTCTAGTCGCTGTAGCACTAGTTCGGCGAGTAGACCGGATGTTGGGGAGCCCATTGGACTTCCCTTCACCTGTTGGTAGTACTTATTGTCGAACTTACGATAGTTCTTAAGGCACAGTTGGTGCGCTGGGATACCAACAGGATTGTCCTGTATATATCGATATGTACATATATATAAATGTAAATTGGAATAACCCATAGGGTTTGTCTAAAATGTACAGTGATTGGCATAATTTTAGTGGAAAAATACCTTTTTGCTTTAACTCGAAAGATCAAATAAGAAGTGAAAATTTTGTATGAGGATGATGGCTACTGTCCGTTCGTTTTCAAAATATTGATGACTTATCATACGCACAGGATAATTATTGAGGTTAAACCACGACTTTAGGAATGGCTCCTATCCTAAGAGTAATATGTAGCTTCGAACCTGCATGGATTCCTTTGGCATAATGTATACTGGCAGCCCTATCAAAACAGCAGCAGAACATTATATTATTTTTGAAGAAATGTCAGTATGCGATGAGATCGGAGATTGCATTGATATGTTTTTGCATTTGGAGATTTAAAAGACGTTTTTAGTCTGGAACTTAACTTCAAACAAGCCTATACAAGAGATTTTGTAACTGTATTTCAGTTGCCTTTTGTCCTGGATAATAACATGGATTTGGCAACACGGTCATAAATTAGGGGACATAAACACGGAAGTCACCTAGCAACGGGACAGACAAAAATCAAAGAAAGGCACTGTCCAAACGAGTGCGCAAGAGAAATGCCCAAGGGACGTTAAGCAGAGGACACATATGCGCATCACATGTTGTAGTTGTTTGCCCAACTCTGAGTTTTCCATCTGCATTCAAACAGCCTCCAAAAAGTGGAGTGTCCGTGTTGTTTACACGGGAGAAGGGGCTAGAAAATACCAAGTAGGGTCAATAGGGGATGTCCATTAACTAGCCTGTTTTCCCCGAGAGAAGAGTTAGAATATGCTTTCTGACGTTAAAGGCTCTGCTCAAATAACCTGGCTGCCAATGGGATCTTGATCTCGCCCAGGTCACTCGCATTCACAAGCACGCGGAATTCATAAACAAAATAAAATCTGAAATGCTTTTTACAGGCCCTACTTTCCTTCCTTTCATTAGTGCGACTCAAACGCAGCTTGATAAGAGCTAAAGCAGTTTGCCCAAGCCCTCAAGACTAAGGGTATAATAAGGGCGTTTTTTCAAAACTGACAGCTCCGTCAAAATTGAACGCAGAGATTTATCCTGTTTCGGAATAAAATTGACTAGACAGCCATGGCGTTGCGTGTCTCCTACTCGTTATTCCTATCTTTAAATGGCACAGATTAGCCGGAATGCAGTCATAGAATTTTGTTTGAAGCAAAAACCGCTGTTCCGGATACTTGTTTCAGATTACCACAGGGGATGAAATAAGTTGAATTTTCCAACCATCGCCTCACACGTGACGTCGCAAATTTTTCAACAGGTCGTAGATAATTACGCTGTTGAATTGCGGAGGAAGACGGGGGGAATTAGTTTCTTTCGAGCCGCAGAGGCAGTGTTTTGGATCCAGTTAAGTTTTGACCACTGCTTCGCACAGTCCAAACAAGGCAACTCATTTCAAGTTGAGCACTGCACAACCTTGTGCATAAATAGTAGAGAATGCTCTCACATGAAGGTGAGTTCCCGTTACTGGTCAAAACTCAAGTGACACAGGTTTCTAAGGAAAAATAGAACTGGACAGTCATTTTATGTCAAAATACTAATGTAGGCAGGTGGGAAACAACAACTTCATCTGTCCCAACTCCAAAGTCATGAGTTTAACCGCATTTGGATCGGCTGTCGGCTCAATCTACTACAACAATTCAGATTCTGTCAGCGACGGCTGAAGCGGCCGCCATCAGGTTATGAAAACCAGTCTTGTGCGTGATGAAGAGCTAAGTGCAGGCTAAGTTCAGATTGTTACTAGCCCCCGCGCCTTCATCGATTTCAAAAGCGAACCTAGGCGTGCCAACTGGTATTCTGAATTCTGATACAGCTAACGGTCAGCCCTGGCAGAATCTCCCAAACCAGACTCACTTAATCAATATTTTTAGAACAATATTCATGATCAATCTGACGGAACTATGAAGGAATTGGCTTTGAATTAGTTTTGGCGGATAACTTGACACAAACATAATTAACCTCATGGCCTCCGGTCGCGTAATTGGGTCTCAGTCAGTAAGCTTTAGCCGTACGCAGACCTTACGTTTGCTGCCGTGGATTCAAATCCCACGAAGGTCGCCAAGCCTTTCAAAGTAGGATCGGACGAATTATGCAAACGCATCAAAACACCTGTTAAACCAATAAATGCCATTTACTTACCAACTTCAAGCGATTTTATTCTCCTAGAGGGAGCCGGAACACTTAGAGGTAAAAATGCGATCGCTGGGATTTTGTATATGTCCGCCAGGCAATAGACCTCAGCAATTCCCAAGCGAGGCCGAATTCAAAGCCCGAAGTTTCAACTATGAGATATAAAACCAAAGTAAAGTGATATGACGGATTTCTTGTAACTAAATTTTTCATCAATCCATCCCCCATTGGCCCATTAGAGTTCTTTAAAGTGTGTTTTACAAGATGGAATAAACAAAAAAAAACAAATTGCGGCCAGATGTGATTATGTAGTCGCACTTGGTGGACACAATGCAGTTTGGGGTTAGGGTTGGGAATTGGGATTAGGGGTTGGGGGATTAGAGTTAGAGATTAGGGTTAGGGGTTAGAGTTAGGGGTTAGGAGTTAGGGCAACTATTTCTCGACCACTCAACGTACAACTGTGCATTGCCAATAGCCTTTTATTTTGCATGCAGTTATTTGACCTCGTCACCTGTGAGTTCCGCGGCTTCACCTGCAAAACCCTCTATTACCGCCGGTGACGTATTACAGGCGGCTGAGTTTGTTTATCTCGGGTGCGGCTACATAACCACATAACCAAATAAAATGAGTTAATTCAATTAAGACGTAATGGGAAGGGCTCAAAACAAAGCGATGCTAGAGCCCGTTCGGGCAATGACCGAAACACTACATGACGAAACCTGATTGACGGTCGAACAGCACCATCGCTATAGTAGATGTTTCTGGACCACAATAGTTGCTAAGGGACAAACGCCTCTAAGTGGTCAACAGTAAAGGCAAAGTAGCCGCGGTAACAAATAAGCAACCGTGTCACATTTCTCACGGCGCGTCGGGCGCGTTTTTCCCGGGTGAGGAATCGGGTCGTGCAATCAGAGAGTGCGAAGCCTCATCTCGTGAGGATGGGCGTGGGCAACGTCGATACACCGGTTCACGGAGCCGCTACCAGACATCCAGGTCTTCGGCAGTCCCCAATTTGCCGTGTCGTCATCCGTGTCCCATGAAAAGCCCAATTTGGTTAGATGGTAGTTGGTAGCCCTCCCGGTACCGAAAACTCCCAGCTACCTTACTTACGGGACCGGTGGTAATAGGGGCTATACGGGTGGGGCAAATGAGTGGAGGCGTAAATGACGCTTGTAGGGAATGCCTGGAATGGACGATCCTGATAAAGTGGAAACCTAATTTGAATAAGGTGAAAAATGTGAGGAAGGTGAACACTTCGGGTCTGTCTGACGAATGAGACGCCTTGCTGTTGTAGTCTGAACCCAAGAGGTAGTAAGTGCGCGATGTGGTAGGTAAAGTGCGCCCAGTTCAAACCCAGCAATGTCAAGGCGCCCGGGGGTGCCGTAGTGCCTTAAACTGGAAGTGCAGGAAAGGATCGCTAACGGGCCATGGCGGTGTTTACAAGGCGTCACAGGTTTCAGCCAAACCCCTGCAACGAATTACAACCGGGCTGTTCGTAAAGGCGGGAGGTGGAGGGCAATACTCTGTCAATACGACTGATGCGGTGGATGGAGTATCGGCAGACACCCTAACTGCGCGTCTGTTGTCCTTTTGTACACGATCGCACCGGACTCTACTGGAGGTCTGGAGTAAAAAGACCCAAGGATGCAGGCAAACCGACGAAACGGAGACCCGCGCCAATCCGCCTAGGATAGTACCTATGCAATTAATCTGATGCAGGTAATACTGTGCGCACATGCAACTAGAAGCATAATGGGAAGTATGATGAATCATAATCCGTTTAGGATAAATCTTTCGCCTTTTACTAAAGATTTCCGTGTGGGGGTGCAATATAATAAGTCTATATAGACAGTCTTGCAGCGCCTCGTTCTCGGGGCGGTTAACGTGAAGAAGAAAGTCATCCTGACAGGGCCTCTGTGCGTGCACACCCCAGACGTAATGAGAACGTTATCACAGATACCGAAATCGAGCCAGTAGGTACAATTGTAGAATCAGTGGGCAGGGCTACCAACTACCATCCTGCCCCCAATTTATGGATTTACCCGAGTTTCCTCAAACGCATTTCTTCTGTTTCAGGATGTACCAACAGCCGGGGGACCCTCCCCTCTTTGCTCTTTGTGTGTGCGCATACGGAGGCAACGGTTGAAGAGTTACTGTGGCACCCATTCTTTGCCAGTTTATCGCACACACAACGACGTTCCTGTACTACTTCCTTTGGCTACTGAAGTTTTTTGTTCTCTTTGGTTTAAGAGTTCTTATCGTCATCAGTAAGGTGTTGACTTTGAAATCACAGTGCACTTGTTCTCATCGTTTACGTTGATCCTTACTTACATGGTCTCAAGTGAGGCGATGAAGTGAACTCTGTTGGCAAGGGTCGATTACGCTGTCCTAGTTCCAATGCGGCCATTGAAAGTAAAGTAAGCCGCAGGGAGATTCTGAAATCGTTAGTGGGGAGAGTAGCCGAAAGTGAAACGGAAAAGGCAATCTGATCTATGGTAAATCAGCCGCGAGTTTGAAGGAAGCCTAGAATCTCCGCAAAAGACCTGGCTGACAGGATACGCGGTACAGCAATACCGCAGACCTAACGATAAACCTAAACGTAACCTCGAACGTCAACCTAGTTCTTAACTTAATTATAAACCGTACGCTAACCCTAAACTTAAAACTAGGCCTAGCCCTTAGCCTACCACAAACCCTAGTTTTGAACCTAAGCCTAACCTTAATCCTGACCCAAGTCCTAATCCTAACCTTGACCTTAATCCTATCCAAAACCCTAACCGTGGTCCCACTCTGACCATAACACTAACCGTAACTCCAACTTTAACATTAAACGTAAGCCTAAACCCCAATCTTAACCTTAACTCTAACCGGAACCGTTAGACTTAACAAAAACTCTAACCCTAAACTCAATTCCCAGTCTAACACTAACCGAAACCCTAAAACTAACCCTTCCTCTAAACCGAAACTTCAGGTTGCCCTTTTCTCTTTTAGCTTTGGCTACTTTCCCACTAACGATTTCAGTATCCTCCTTCGGTTTACTTTATTTCTAATGCCCACAATGCGCTAACACTTGGGACCAAAACACCGTAACTGACCCCATGCCGCTCTATTGGTCCGTGTGGGGTTATAGTAGACCTCAGGGTTCAGTTAGTAGCCCTCTCGTAAACCTGACTGCTTAGAAAATGGCACTTGCAAAGCATTTCCGTCTGTACTGGTGCTAGGTTTCAAATTGATTAGCCGCTTGTTTAACTACATTCCCCTCTATTTTCTCCCTCAATTTTTTAAGAAGTTGGTTGTCCACTCGAGTTAACCGAACACGCGGCCCACAACCTAGCTTCCAAATACCCACGGGAACAGGAGTTGAGAGAACTGAGATATGACTTTAACTTTTGAACCGGCTGACTTCATAATTCTGCAGCTACGGCGCGTAAGCCAGTCATGTGGTCGAAGGATCAACTGAAAACTCGTGCGGAATCGGACGCAGCCTACAGCTTCCCACTCCTCGAGTCCCCCCGCCGATATACAAACCAACAGCTCAATTCAGGAAAAAGATAACAAAAAACGGACGTCTAAAGGCACTGATCAAGTCTCCCTAGTCGCCATCAGCCAGCCAGGGAAATGTGTAGCCAGAGCGCGGCGAGAAATCCGACACGGTTGCTTATTCGTTACTGAGGCAATTGCACGGATTCAAACCGCACGCAACCACTGTGGTTAACGTTGCCGTACTGTCTGCGATTAGAAGCGGAGACCTGCCCACTTGCATTTAGTGGTGAGATGAGCAACCAGTAAGTGTGTACGTCCCAAGTTTTACCTTGAAAATTTTTAAAATCTCCTGAATGGTCGCTGTGCTGACTTCTGTAGTGGACGGAATTGGTCGGTAGTGGAGAGTGTAGGAGCTGCTTATATGTGTGGAGTATAGAAAACTATGTAGAACTCCCAACGATGTTTAGGAGAGATTTAGGTCCGCCCTTTGACGGCGGCATGACATTCGCAGGTCTGTACCGCGCTGAAGAGGTGTTACTGAAATGTCCATATTGGATCATTCATCCTCGCCCCACACAGTTAATACATTAGTAAGAGGAAGGCTCAATTAAAAAAAGGTTCGGTACCGAGAGCAGTCAAGTGATGAAAAATGCTCGAAGATTTGCTGAGAGAAGCAAACAGGCGAGATCCAGAAAATATGGCCAGGTTCTTTGTAATGAGCCGCCACATGAGAGCTGACATCTTTACTCCTCACAGCTGCTGCATGCTCGGCCATTCGCCTGTGGAGTAATCTCCCAGTTTCTGTGACGTAATTGCCTTGTCCGCAACTGCACCAGATCCGGTAAAAGACTCCAAACGTTTCTTGCCGTGGCAGTGGGTCCTTTGGCCTCATGACATGGCGCCTGATGGTTGCTTCCGGCCTGTGTGCAACCCCAACTCCAAGTGGAGTGAGAAGACAACTGACGGCTTCCGAGACGTTCTTCACGTACGGAAGAGCCCGCCAAAATTTGGGGCCGGTTGGATTTGGTCTCTGGCGTCCTTTTCGTATGCGCTGTTTGACAAAGTTGCGTGGGTAACCATTGACTCTCATTTCCCGTCCAAGATAATGCAGTTCAGCAACCTTGTCTTGCATTTCACTGCAGTGCGTCTCAACGCGCCGGTATAGCGCCCTTACGCAACTGCGTTTGTGACTGATCGGGTGGTTGCTATTGAAGTTCAGTATTTGCGTCGTATTTGTCGCTTTCCTGAGCATTTCAATCTTTAGGCCACCGCAATCTTTGCGGCAGACGAGGACATCCAGGAAGGCCAGCTGATTGTTTTTCTCCTCCTCCGTCGTAAATTGAATGTCCGGGATGACGGCGTTCAGTTGTTCTTCGAACGTCAGCACCTGATCCCGTTCGATGACGACGAAGGTGTCATCCACACACCGAGCCCAGAATTTCGGTCTGCGGTGTCGGAAAACCATAGACTCCAGCCGTTGTAGGACCGCCTCGGCTACGAGTCCCGAAATCGGCGAACCCATTGACATTCCCTTCACCTGCTTGTAGACTGTTCCGTCGAACGTAAAGTACGTCTTGAGACAGAACTTCAGGAGCTGGATGATTTGGGCGTGTCCGAGGCGATTATCCGTTTCGTCGTATTTCTCTCGTAGGAAAAGTTCGTTGGCTTGACTGCCAGGCCCTGTGGGATAGAAGGAAAAACGGACGTGACATCAAAGGATGCCATGACGTCGCTTGGTAGGAAACGTACACCCTTAAGTTTCTCCAAGAACTGTGTTGACGAGCTGACTGTGGTGTCTGAACCGGAGGTCAGAAACCTGAGACGTTGAGACAGCCAGTTTGTCCGTCTGTAGTTTGGAGTGCCTTTTAGCCATACGATGGTCCGGAGAGGAACGCCCCCGTTTGTGCACTTTTGGGAGACCGTAGAATTGGACCAGGGCCCTTTCTCACGCTCTCGCCACGCCTCGGTCAATCGTTAATATTGCACCTGAGTTCTCTATTGCCAACAGCATCGCGTTGATCTCGCGTGCCAGCGTTTTTATGGGGTTGTATTCTCACGTAACACAGGACAGACGACACTCCAACAAACGTTTGGCGTTTTGAATGCAGTCTGCCCTGTCCAATACGACAGTGGAACGTTCCTTGTCCGCAGGCACCTTTAAGAGTTCTCTGTTTGCTTTGAGTTTCTTTAGTGCGTCATACTGGATCTTAGAAAGCACGTTGCGCGACCTTTACGCCACGAGGGGGATGACACTTGGTGCCGAATAAGATTCTTCCTCTCGTCTGTCGCCTCCGTCTGTCTGAGGACTGACTTCACTGCTGTAATCATGCTGGTAGGTTTGGCATCGGTTATGTTAAATGAGGCCCTATGCCTTAACACCTGCATTTGTTCCCACGTCAGCAGCTTTGCCGACAGGTTGTGCATCAGTTTCTCGTTTCTGGATGACACACCTTCTACCGTACGTCAGAGTATCAACGACCACTTATACCACCTCTGACACGATGCTTTGCAGGTCATGCAAATAAGATCCACAATCGGAAACCAACATTCTTATAATAGTCGTCATTCGGTTTCGCGCTAACATATTTTTTCCTACAGTTATTATATGCATCCTGCCTGTGGCCATCAGAAAACGTATCCGTCAAAACCGTCGGAGTGGTGTTTTAATGCCAGAGCTCATTTTCTTCCTTCCTCATCCGGGCGCTATTTTTCAAAACTCTGATTCGTTTAAAACTGTCATCAACAATTGAGAAACGACCAAACCTGCATTACACTACTTTTCGCGGATGTGTAAATTAGAGGAACATATTTGTGTTACCGTCATGAAAAAGGTTTTCCCCGGTAGGTTGAGGGGTGTGTTAGTCGCGCTGCTTCTTGAAGATGAAGCTGGAGCCCTTAGAGGCAGTCTCACAGTACGCGCAAAGAAACAGGATCGACAAGGCCAAATAATAATGGGATTCTTGTCTCTGGTGTGATAGGCATCGCCAGTTAGCCATGACCAACCTCATGCCCGGATGACCCAGGATTCGAATCCCTTATCCTGCAGGCCAACAACCCTTTTTCAGTTTTTGCGTAAACATCAGGCCGATAAGAGGGAAAGAAAGAGGTCCATGAAACAGTCCTGAAGATGACATCACCCTTATCTAAATGCGTCTCCGATGATGGATTTGAGTGTAAATCTGAAACTTCAGCAAACAAAGCTATTGTCCCAACGATCTTGCTTCTTTCTTTGTAAAAAAATTAGGCTTAAAAGTAAAGACCACAATGAAACGACTGCCGACATCTACGTCTATGTTGAAACCGAAGCGCTAACAAAAATCACACACACTCATGTTAGTTAACAGATTTGTTCCACGGCCCACCTGGTTGGGACTTCAGCCCAATTGTTGGTTGCTCGATGCCTTTCACGCATCCCTGGAGCACATTCAGTTTTTCTAAAAAGTTAAAGATTTGGACGGTAAACAATGCACGAAATAGAAAGCAAAACAACCGTTTTCAGACACGGTCGATAAATCTGCCTGAAAGTACGGAGTTACTACTAACAACTCCAGAGGAAAAACCATGATATACTTACATCGATCAATATGCGGTCTGCATTTCTTTTAAGATATACAAGAACGGTTTTGTCATCCCCTTTACAAGCGTCTTGACAGTTTTGTGTGACAGTATGAAGCAAAGGCGGCAGATTTGGCCCTCCACCCGGTTCCCTCTAGTGCTTCGGACAGTTTTCGGAATTAATTTCAGTTTTCTGTATGGAAACGTCGGTCGTGCTTGCTCCAGTGGTTGACTTGGTTTCACACTGAGGGGGTTTTCATTTTCATAAAAATGGCCTCGTTTTCTACGGTCGGTACGTGGAAGATATCTTCTGCCTGGCGGATGGTACCATCGATAACGAGGACCTTGTCCAAAAGTTTAGCAGTTCGCTCCCCTCGCTAAAGTTCACTGCAGAGGCCGAGGCAAATAACGAAATTGCCTTTTTTCGATGTTCTTCTGCACAGCTAAGAGGGTGGGTCTATCCAGCGCAGGGTGTTCCGAAAGAAAACCTGAAGGGGGCAATACGTTGATTTCCACAGTTTTGTTCATTCACTTGCTTCTGTGGAGCGGGATACGTTGGCCGCTGAACGAGCCTGGTAAAGAGGGTGCGTGAACATATGCCCGCCTGGCTAGACAGAGGTGAGACCCGGTCGATTTCAAGTTCTGTTCTCGCACATTTAATCGATACGAATCAGAGTCGATGCCAAGGAAGCATTCCAGGCTGTCTATCGGACACCAACATGCGTCTCTAAAGGCCTACGCCAACGGATAATGGCAACGGCCGAGGCAGTCGCTATATGATTAGCGAATCCGATGTTATGCTGTCAGAAAACCCTGACACAAGCGCTCTTCCTGCCGTGGCGAACGCCAACCACAAGTGATGACGACATGCTGCCTCAAATCCCCAATTACAGTGATGGGTACTCCGTGTACTCCATCCAAGAACATCACTAAAAGACTCTCTTATCCTCGCCCCTAGCTCTGAGGACCGAAACCCGCCGACCTTGTCATGCGGGCGGCGTGGGAATGATGAGTGTTAATGAGTTAATAACCCTTGAGACACTTATAAGCACGGTTAATTTTGTACATTTGCATTCTTTCATGTAACTGTATTGCCCTGACGAAGAATTACCAAAAGCACGTGTTTGCTAACTTGACTTTTCAAGTATAACACGGGAATATTTTCGGAACTTAGACAATCCAAAAATGGATTTTGTCTGCCTTCTTCGCGAGTGTTCAAAACAATGTTCTCTTTGAAAATCAATCCCGACTTCCGCTCGGGAAGCTGGCTGATCTGTCGTGATTGGATGTGTGTCAGCTCGCCACTAGACTCGAGATCGGGGATGCCCGCAATCCGCTCCCGACATCTCATACTTTGAAGACACCTTATGTAGGTGAAATCGGTTGAGATTTCGCACTCAGCTTTGGCAGATTGTACAGCACTTCACGCCATAAAGTGACGTTGTCATGATAGTAACCGCGCGTTTAATGGTGATGAGAGTGAAACAAGCATTCCGCAATATGCACTGCAATTTTAACGTTGATTCGGTTCAGAAGCCAGTTGGAGAACTTGAGGCGGTGCCATCAGGGTGAGGGAACTAATCGATTGTTGCTAGGCAACTGCTCCTGACACTAACCGAGACTTCAGAGTATTCACGCGCCCGTACAACTGCTCTACACTTTAATGGTTAATTCGCAGTTCGTAGGTATTTTGACAGATTTTGAATAATTCGTACTGACCCAACTGTGAAAATCTGCCAAAATACCTATGAATTACGTGAGCCTGGTAGTCATCTGTCGGATTCTAGGTGAATTACCTAGGAAATCCGGCTTGGACAGTCAACTTACTGTATCAGATTTGATGGACTCCAGACGTTGCAGTAGGTTGGGCGGATAAACTTGACCCAAATGTGATTAAACTTGCGTCGTCCGGCGGGGCCTCGTAGCTCAGGTGGTTAGAGCGTTGGCTGTACTAAAGCCTTCTTCTTACTGCGTAAGTTCGAATCCGAACGAGGCTCGGAGTTTTTTACAATGTGTCAATATGAATAGTTCGCAATTGAAAAGTTTTAATGGACGTCCATTGTCAGATTCAAACTATCTCCGGTGTGACGACAGAAGGTCGAGTTCGAAGTTGGAGGCCAGTAGAGAAAGTCAGTTGATGGCTTCCTCTGAGCTCTTAGGTGACGGTCAAAGGCGAACCTCAAACGCCTGTTATAGCGCTCCGGAATCCCTGATTTCTCCCTTAATAGGACCGTTCTACCTGAGCTGAGCAACGACGCATTTCCGATGTGTTAGAAGGAAATAGACAGTCTTAATGGGTACGAAAAAGTTCTTCATTTCATCTCGATCTGCCCATCCTTAGAGTTAAACCGTATTGGCAGTCAGTCAGTCATTCTGCGTAGGAGGTTTTATGTCCTGATTATCATAGCTGATAAACTGTTGGATGTTGAAGGGAATGCATAAGTTGCTTTTAAAAGTGAATTTCATTCACATCTTAATCTATCTAGTCAGCTAACACTCGAAGGAAATTATGATGCAAGGTTCAGTCTTTCTGTTAAAAATACTGGCGAGAAAATACGTAGTCTGTTGAACTGGCAAAATGTAATGACATACTGCCCTTTCCAAAGATACAAGATGTCGCATTCGTTTGACTGGGGCGGTCGTTAGCCTACTGAAACCCATGAAGTAAGCGAAAAATAAGTTATGTAGATCACAATCGCTTGTTTAAACTATGCAGCTTCAGACTAACTGAACGACTACTTGTACAGCTTGTCTAACTAAACAGACCACCTGTCCAAAACTGTATATTTTCGGGATGAGTCGACTTTACATCAAAACAAACGAAAAATTTAAACTAAAAGTAGGGTAAAATGAAGTATTTTGAGCGACTTACCAATGTGAACACAAGGCATAGCACATAATCGTCAAAGGCGAAAAACAGATCAATGCACTAATGCGGAAACGAGACCAACTGACAAAATCTTAAAATTTGGCCCCAGTAAGCTGATGTAATTTTAAAGCCCCATTTTCAGGGTAGACTAACAACATTTATGAAATCCAAGGAGGATATTGAAATTATAAAAGAACATCACGTAAGCCAGATGCTCAATATGTCAAAAAAGTGAACATCATCCAAAGTTTGAAAAAGAATGACTCGTCTGATTTCACAATGCATTTTCCATGCCCGATTTCAGTCCCCTCTCAAATCAGTAGTCTGTAGGAAACAGGTAATTTTGCAGAATGTTGACTTTGATTGTTCCTTATATCTGACATGCGTGAATACGATCAAACCTCATCTCTCAAAACTTGTGTTCACTGACTGTTTGCGAATTTCACTGTTTGACCGAAATTTACTTATATTACTGAACGGGGCTAATGACGAAAAATCAGAAACGTTCGTTCGCCGAATTTCGCCCCTTCAAAGTTTACATGAGGAACACTGTAAAGCCTGTGTAGCTTAACGATTATGGATGAATGGCTCAAGGAACCCTTCTTGCGCCATATCAAAATCAAGCGTCTTCATTCGTTACTGTAGGTAAGGAGGGGTACCATGATTTGTGTGTGATTAATTTTGGTTATTGGTGGCGTTGGTGATGAAGAAGCGAGAAAGTGCACTCGACGAATTTAACATCCTCATCATTAAGATGGGTAACATTGCCAAGCTATATTATATCGAAACTATAAATCCAGTGATTATTGATTAATTGATTAGGAGCTCCTGCCTGATTAGTCGACTTACTGTACGAGTGTTGGTAGATTCAAAAGCCCAGGTGTTATTAATGTTAGCTGTTGACGGCTGTCTGGGCAAGGGAAATGCAAATGAGCGAGCTTGTTGAAAGCGTATAATTTAGCAAAATTCTGACCAACCAGCTATTTTCAGAAATCAGCCGAACGTAAAATATGTCAGACAGCCCATTCAAGCCTTTGGGAGAACTGCAGGGAAAAATGTCCAAGTTTCGAATTCGCCTCGATATTTAGTCGTGCCAGTTTGTCCGAAAACTAGCCCTGCAAATGCCCAGCATTAAGTACGCCACGGTCATAAATGACCTAGCAAGGCTTCCAGAGAGAATTAGAGTAAGACGTATTTTCCTCTCTAAAAAACGAAACAATCCTCTGTCCTTGATTGGTGTTTGAAGCCATATTTCCTCAGCTAGACAGGGTGAAGATGAAGCTGATATGTAATGTCCATTAGAAGAAACTGTCGTATGCTAACTACCCACTATTGTCAAGGCAATGCTTGCAACAACAACGATTAACAACCGCATAAGAAGGCTATCAGGCATTGTCCGAATTTGGAACTAATGTTAAACGGTTAGAGCTTGTGTAATAGTTTACAGGCAAGTAATTTTCGTTAACTATAGCGGACTGTCAAAATATTTTGCCATCATCCAAATTTTTCCAAGCAAGTCTCGTTGGCCTCTTAATCCTGTCTCTGTAAAACTCGAGCACAATTCTCATTTTGTTGGTGGCGGTGAAAATACGAGATAATGTTTTACAGAACATCGTTGCTTCACCGTTGCACGATGCAACCATTTCCCGTCAGTTAGGTGTTTGCGATTAAACAAGATCCACGGACGTAGGGTAGGTGGGCTTAATCATGAAACGTCAATCGAAATTCCGAAATGCCTTATCGTTTCGGAAAGATTAATTAAATAGGTTTGTAAAACTAATCAGCCTGTAGTATAATTCTATAATAATTCAGTTACGTCAAAAGGCTGGCTTTCGAATGAACTCCCTTCTGGCTGCATGCCCAACTACACTCTGTAAAAAATGACTACTTTAGTAGCATGCATTTTTCTCACTGGCAAGAGAAGTTTTTGAAAACGGAATTATACCCTTTTTGAGTATAAAATTGGAAGAAGACGTAATTTTCTACCAAATGAGCAGAAGAATTAATATTTTACGCTTGTTTTTATGAAATGTAATTGAATATTTGAGGGCATCGACAATCAATGAGAAAAATGCATGCTAAATAAGTAGTCATTTTTTTTTTACAGAATATAGTTTTTGCATGCAGCCGGAAGGAAGTTCGTTCGAAAGCCGGCATTTGGAGGTAACTGAATTATTATTGAATTATACTGCAGACTGATTAGTTTTACGACCCTAATTAATTAGTCTTTTCCAAAGGAAAACGGATTTCGAAATTTCGGTTGGCATTTCATGAGTTAGCCTACCTACTGTAGGTTTTTCCGCAAGTATTGTGCATGCGGATTGCAAAAGCCTTTGCATGTATTTAAATTGACACTTCTTAGGGGAGGGGGGGTGGGAGGTGAATCGCAAAGCGTGTTACTCAGTAGATTTGACGATTTTTTTAAAACCAAGAGGTATATGTTGGAATTCTTATTTTATAGATATGATAATGTTTCGCCTACTTCATTGATGCAGCATCAGAAACAAAATGTAGTCCATTTGATAAAAATAGCAAAAGTTAGTTTTGTGAGAATATTGAGGCTAAAATTTGCTAAGCCGTATAAAAACACTGATTTTAAGAATAGCGGGGAATATTCGGTTCGCACTTGACTGTTTAATGTAAGAAAGAAGCCAGATGCCATGGACTTTAATGCGATGTCTGGGAAGCACATACTCAGGGCATCTCATCAGATGATCGGACCGGTGATCTGCACCGAGTTCGCTCGCGTTCAATTCTTCTCACAGCCACTACGGCAAGCGTAGAATTCCTCATTAATATTGAGCACTGTTTTACTTATGTTTCCGACACTATTCGAACAGCTTCACGAGGTGTTCAGCCGAAGCTGGCTCCGTCTTTTATTGCATGCCATTTAAAGTTTTTGGAACCAGATTGTGTACATCAGAGTCGACGAGATCGTGTTAATAAACGAAGCAACATCAAAAGAGATCCTTAGGGCGTATTGCTGCTATACTAGTTGTTGAATTGATCGTCGGCCTAAATATACCCTAAGCAGGAGGATCGTGGAAATCACGGCTCGATTACATCTCAGGGGGCAAACTGGTGTCGTGTAGCTTAGCCCATGCAGAAATGTTCTCGTGACAAAACAGGTCAATCTGAGCGCATGTGCGGATCATGCACACACGAACAGAAGCAAAATGCGCAGCGAGTTGACAATTCCCAAGCCGCTGCTCACGCCCCAAAACGAATCAGAGTTCGACTTTTCGATCACCAAGCCAATGGCGCATGTCAGATGCTAGAAAAGCCAAGAAGAGGTTGAAGCCTGGGCCTCGGATAAGAACTCAGTTAATCCACGCAACAAACTGACGCCAGTATGCAGAACCCCGCACAGTCACCTCCGGACAAAGGTCGTTGATTAGTTTATGTTCCCCATAACTACCTGCTGTTATTTCTAACAATGAAATCCTGTCTAAGAGTTTCGAAAATTCCCATAGCAGTAATCAAAAGACTGGGTGGCGAGCATACGTAGCCTTCGATAAACTCTCGTCGGGAACGGGACAGAAGTAAAAACTTGTCATTGATAAGAGAAATCGATTGAAGTTCGCATTAAAGCACAGACCGGGTGCGGGAATGTGGGAGAGGGGTAATAACAGTCAGTGTCAGGGGCGGGGTGAGAGCGGTGGGGCGCGGGGAGAGTTGCAGTGTTAGTCGACCTTCAACCACTGTAGGTGCGGAGCCTGGAAGTGGTTCTTCTGTGTGCAAAAAATTGGTTTTCGTAATCTGATGGCGGCCGCCTCTGCTATTACTAACAGGTGCTGGCTTAGTAGTTTAGTATAGCCCGAGGGGGCCCTATAAATCACAAGAAAAGCTTCGTTGGGATCTACACAATGTCCGGAATCAATAACATGCGCGAGGATGGCGCTGCTTATGCTCCTGGTTTCGTCTTTTCCTAGCCATGCCGCGAGGAGTTCCCGTAGTCTCTTGGATAAACGAAGACTCGTGCGACCAATATGGCCTGTTCCACAAGAGCAAGTGAAGGAATAGATGCACATTGAGGTGGTCTGGGGTGGCAAATTATCCTGCACGAACTTAAATGCTTACAAAAAATAAGCAAGTACCTCAGGAGCACGATCCATTAGTCTCACTTGCTCCATTAATCCTGTCATATTAAAGCCCCACATTAAAACATAACTCTTATTTCGTTGGCCGCAGTGAAAATGTGAAATTTTCCTCTGCGAAGTAACCTTACGTCACAGTTTCATGAAGTGGCTTTTCCCTTTCATTAAGTATTTACGGTTGAACGAGAGCCTACAACACAATTTCTGCTCCACTTTCCGTTGATCCGTAAGATGACACTATTTTTGGATGAATTTTGTCTAGTACTCTCTAAGACACCTGGCTTATTACCGTGATCCAAACGCAATTGTGCACGGGTGAACAAGAGGACAGGCTGTTCACTCGATTTGTTAGCGAGAGACTACGATAAACTCCTAATTAATGGGTTAAACTCACCCTGATCTTCATAAATGCTAAGTAGGAATCTACCTTGTCAATGAATAACCGTTGGGATGTATATATGCTTTTAAGTCGATGCCATGACACGCGCCAATATTAGCAATTTCAGTCTTGTCAAGGGGCAAATTTGATAATTTTCTAAAAATGTGATTCTGTTAAATTTGATTTATTGCTCAAACACGGGATATGAACTATGGAGCATGCGTGCGAAGAAACGAAGTACATCCGAGTGCCAGTGAATACTAAGGAAAATAAAACTGAAAAGTAATCAGAAACTTTGTTGGCAAAAAACTCTGTCTGGCCTTCCCTGGATGGAAATATTATCTTTTCACGAATGTTAATAAGCCGCCAGAGTGGGTATAGCGCATCCAGCCCAGGAAACAATTGGTCGCCGTTTGATTTAACCCAAAGACACACTGCCACCCATTGAAATCTCAGCAGTTGTCTATCAAATATCCTGTAACGTTGAAGACTGCAACAAAGTTGAGGAAACTGGGCGGAAATCGCAGATCCGCCTACACGAGCACAAACAGGGAACTCGAACTCACAGACTGTGACTCGCATCGGGGAAACTGGACAAAGTTTTGGATTCCAAGGGACAATCCTCTCAAGCCGGGGCACCTCAAGGAGAGAACGTCTCACTTTTGAGGCTTGGCGTTTAGATGCCAACTCCATCAACAGGCATCTAGACCTTCCTTTGGCCTATGTGGTTCTATGTCAATATCTACGCCATGGTCAGAACAAGGCACTCACGTGGAGCTTAAAAAATACCGAGAAAATACAGTCCGTCGGCCAATTTTCCTGCAATGGGAACAAATGTGCAACCGAGCCCCATTGAAATGACAACATATAGCGCAGGAGGACGTCTGCATGCACAGACAACAGCCATTAGGCCTAGGTGGCGAACAATCAGTCCACATTGCTCCGAACATTAAAACTTTACAACACCTTTTCAGCGGCCGTCTCTATTCTCGGTTTCTGGTGCCACCCACGGCTAACAAAGTGTAATGCCAAGACTGGTCGTTTCTCCTTGGCCTGTTGCTTGCAATTGCTCGGTTATGCAGGTCATATATGCTGGCCCAAAAGAAGTGTCTGTGTTGGCTATGTATTAAAGCAGATGAAAAGAACAGTGGCACTTATCTACCCTGGGATTATAAGGAGGGGAATTCTGTGAGGGGTTTATTCTCACTTGTGGAGGTGGACAGTCTTGGCGTTCTCGTGCTATTAAGGAGTTTGTTCCCCTCTCTAGTCCCCTAGCCTATAGAGGTTAGACGTCCCGAGTCTGTGGATCTCTGTTTTTGGCTTCGACGGAATCGGGCCGACGCTGGAATAATTTGCGCTGGCATAATGGACTCTTGCAGATAAGACGCAATATAAAAATCCACATGGCAAACTGATTCGGCAATTTGCACAAAATTCTAGTCGATTTTTCGCAAAACGTCTTGATAATGCAATGCCGGCCAAGCCCTCCGAAACTTCAGCCATTCAATTCCACTGATCCGGTGAGCCCTTCATATTTCCCAGATATCTCTAGTAAGGTTAACTTGGCTGAATGAGAGACGTGAACACGGCTTGTATCGCGGTATTAATACGTTCACAGGAGGCTTTCGTATTTAGCAAGAAATACGTCTAGAAGTCGTTGAAGCGGCATGCGTACTACTCATCTTTTACCCAGTTGTGTGAGCTGTCTGCAGTTTAGCATGAAACGTCATGAAACGTCTACTAAAATTGAAATGCCTTTTCGTTACGGAAAGATTATCTGAGAAGGTATTTAAAACTAATAAGTCTTGAACTATTTGCTCCCATACGCGTTGAAATATTTCGCCTCCATGTTTTCGAAAAAATAAGGTTTTGTTTTTTAAATCAGGGGAACTCTACTTTGCTTGTGGTAGAAAAACGTCAATATTATTGAGACAAGACCATATTTGTGGAATGAGAATTTCAAAATTGACCTCTTAGAAAGATAAAAATCGTCCGAACCATTGATTTTCACGGTCGACGTTTTCCCCTTCGAGTAACTGTTCGTCGGGCGAAGTGGTTATACGCCGGCCTTGGTTACCTTAGGTATCAGATTTACAGGCACTTACCTAAGCGTGCTTAGAGACCTGCTTGCACACTCCCCGTTATCTCAATCAGGCCGGTGGGTAGATATGGTAGGTGGGCTAACTCATGAAATGTCAACCGAAATTTCGAAATGCGCTTTCGATCCGAAAAGATTAATTAAATAGTATTGTAAAACTAATCAGTCTGCAGTATAATTCTATAATAATTCAGTTACATTAATATGCTGACTTTCGAACGAACTTCTTTCCGGCAGCATGGAAAAACCATACTCTGTGAAAATGACTGCATAAGTAGCATGCAGTTTTCTCATGGATTTTCGATGCCCTTAAACATTCAGTCATAGGTCATGGAAAACATGCATAAAATATTAATTATTCCACTCATTCGGTAGAAAATTACGTTTTCTTTCGATGTTATAGTAGATGGAGGGACATGATTCGATTTTTAAAAACTTTTCCAATTCCCGAATAATTTTGAACCCGTTCTGCCGTCAGACTTGCATTCAGGGTTTTCAAACTACAAGCCATGTATTTTTTGCTGAAGGAAAACCACACATTTCTCTACGGTACTATGAGGAGACTATATGGGATTCATAAAATTTGGCATTGGAATTGATCCGTATTGTTAACTTTACAAGACACACTGGTAAATGTGTGGGAAGTTTCATGAACGGTATTAACAAGTCTCACAAATTAAAACGTTTTTAAAAATGTTGTAAGTAATTAGCTTTATATGAAAATGAAACTCAGGCGGAATGCAGGACACTCGATCTGTCCTATTTAGTAAACAGATCAGATTGAGCGCATTTCGGCTCGCGCACTGACTTTGCTTACACTTGTACAGGCTAAACAGCGGGCTGACAAAAACCAAGTGGCTGCCACAGCTCCAAATCAGATCACGAGTTCAACTTTGCTACCGCCATGCCAATTGCCACATCCAATGCAACAAAAGCCGAGAAGATATTAAACCCTAGAACGCATAACTTTCTGCGTTACCTCGGGTAATGGACTCCTACAACAGTTCGAATGCTTGTTAAGAGTAAACAAATTTTGCCGGAGCCCGATCACTTTAATCCCTCCCTACTCATACGCTCACCTACTACCCAGAATTTCGTCTCCATTCGTGAAAATCTACCTCTTTGCTTGTGTCTGCAACATACTGGCACAGTCCATTCGTTCCTTCCTTTGCAATCCACGGGCGAAGAGTAAATGAATAATACCCCCACAGATATACTTTCTGTCCCAAGTTAATTGCCAGCCTCAAATGTTATGTCCATCAGTCCATGAACCCGCCCATCTGACTGTGCGATGACACATTGGCGCCAAATCTGGGATGGGGAGATGATGTTTTGTGTTTTTTCTCCAGTTTTGAAAGCATGGCTTCAAATTGTTCAGCACAAACGGCAGCAATGACAAGACCGTCAGATGTCTGCCTCTCAGAAATCTGTTTTATATTTTGTGAGCATCAGCTAGCCAGAAAATGAGATTTTCCATTTAGACATCACGACGAGCTAAATAGCAGGCTCTACCTGCAGAAATACTGAGCGATCTAATCATGCCCAAGGCGTAACGGAGCCAGTATACCCCGTATCCTCATTGGGTGGAGGCCCTTTTCACGCTATCAAATACCTCGCAAATCCGCAGACTTGTAGCTTATGACAGAAACTCCCGGGGTCTGCTGATCGGTTTGCGGACGCGTCACGAATATTTCCTGAGCGCATTTGTCCCGGTACTCTGCCTAGGCCTGTGAAGGACCTCATACGAATGACTTGGCGTTTAGAAGAAAGAGCCGTTTATTAATAATGGCAACGGACTCGTCTCAGGGTGGGCCGTCGCTTGACTCAGTCGTTTCGCTCAGAATCAAAAATTGTCAACCTGTCGACAAAATGGTGCAACATATTAGCCATTCATATAATACACTACAAGCTTTTCAGAAGTCAGGCCTACTCTTCTCTTCCAGACAACCAGAAGTAGGAGTTTGATGCCCTACTGTCTCAGATAGACAGCGTGCGACCGAAGCTGTTATGCAATGTCCACTAAAAAAAAACTGTCGTATGCTAATTACCTACTGTTGTCAAGGCAGTGCTGCAACAACAGCAATTACCAACCACATCAGAAAGCCGCCGGGCATTGTCCAGATTTGGATCGAATGCCGAACACTCAAGGCTTCTGTAACAGTCCATGGACAATTTATTTCCGTCAACTATCTCGAACTGTCAAAATATTTTGATATCGTCCGTATTTCTCCAGCAAGTCTTTTTGTCCTCTTGATCCTGTCTCATGAAAACTCGAGCACATTTCGTATTTTATCAGCGGCAGTAATGATATAAAATATTTTTGGCCAAATATCATTGCTTCACTTTTGTATTAAGCAATCTTTCCCCGTCAGTCAAGCTTTTACATTTGGACGAGAGTCGATGGAAATGTCTCAATTCTTGCGTACAAGTCATTAAAATCACACAAATTTCACATAACTGAACGACAATATGCTCATATGCGGTAGTTGAGAAGTTGCTAAGACATTGGAAAATTGTTTTATAAGATTTTCTCTTGAGTGGTTTTAAGAATTTTGCCGATAGTAAGTGTGTATAACCAAGCAAACGTGTCATTTAGACTTAGGCTTCACCCCCTGCACTTATGAACGAATAGGTCCGTGGGCTACCTCAATGTCCTGGGAGAATCGATTCGATTGTTGACATTAATTCAAGGCAGCTCCTCAGCTGCGTAACCATAAAACCGAGAAATATCCTAAACCTGCAGAGTCAGGGAGTGAGTACACAATCCGCTTTCAGTGGCAGTCTCGATTTTCGGTTTTTGACACCACTCAGGTTAACAAAGGTGATGATGCCACGACTGGTCGTTTTTGGCTATACTGTTGCTCGCAATTGCTATGTTACGCGGGTAATATGTGTCAGTCCGCTGTGTTTGCGAAAGGGGTGCCTGTATTGGATGCGTATCAAAGCAGTCGGAAAGAACGGTGGCAAATATGTACCGTGAAATGTAGAGGTGGGTGATTCTGGAATAATTGTCACGTAATTGAGGGGTTTCTTCTGACTTTTAGAGGTGGACATTCTTGGTGTTCTTGTGTTTTTGCGGAATTTGTCTTTCTCTCCAATCCTCTAGACTACCGAGGTTAGAATGTTCAGAATCTGAGGGTCACTGGTTTTTGACTTCATTGGAATCTGACCGCCGCTCAAAGGCCTTCTATTGGACATCTGTCGTGCCGACACTACACTTCTGCAGAGAGAACGTAATATAAAGGCCCCTATGCTGACCTCCTTTTATTGTACGATACAGCAGCTCTTAGTTGTGTCTTCTCAACTGACTATCGTAGTTTGCTGGTTTGAAAACTCTACAGTAATTTATGGGAACAAACGTCTTCACTTCCGCACCAACAGTCAGATACCTAATGGTCCCACCACCTTCCACTGCATTTGATATCAGCATCAGAAAACTGTGATCTTATTCGCGTCGATTCAATTGTCCGCACTGAACTTTTTCAAATCGCTTTTATTCGGCACTGCCAACCTACGTGATTATGGTGCCTTTGCTCTGAAGATTAATAAACTTCCAACTCGGCTGAGTGCATGACACCCAACCGCACCTTACATCCTCTATCAATGCCGTCTTTTGTTCATGTGACTGCTGCAAACGTAACGCATAGTCCACCATGCGAACTACTATTTTTCATGGCTGATTTCATGCCTACCCACATTAATGATGCCCATAGTGGGTCTGGAATTGCGGTTTCAACATGACAGTGTTCCCACACCGCACATCGCCTCTTCCATCAACGTATGGACTTGGTGTTGTATCCTGACAGGCAATAAGGTTTTAGTTCGTCAGTGGTACGAGCGAAAGTGTGGTAGCATCGTTTTGCTTCCTCGCCGTAAAGTCCAAAACCTGGTGAGCGATGAGGATATTGAGTTCTGCGTTTTCGTGGTCAGTCAGCCCTCAGAGTCTCTCCACTTGACGTTCGTTACACCACTCAAGAGTTCTCCTGCCCACCGACTAGACGATCGAGGCTGGAGTTAGCTTCCGTTCGAGGGAACCCTTTGGCGATTTCCGCTCAGTCTGCAGGTGGTCAAATGATGATGAGGCCGAAACGTTCAGTACAGTGCTTCGAAATCTCTGTCATTACGGTCGTTCGACCTGAGTTAGGGGACAACGTATTTCAGGTGGGTAAGAGGGGGTGGAAGGTTTTAATGCGCACGAGGATGTTTTTCATTTTACCCTGATCTGCCTATTCTTCGACATTATTCGTCTTGGTAATCAGCGAATTGGTCTGTGTCTGTGAGTTTACTTCCTGGAGCACGATTATTACAGCTGGTGAGCAGTGGAACGACGTAAGGAACATAGAAATTGCTTTTAGGTGTGAATTTCATTCATATTTTAACTCATTTACTCAAATAATGTCCGGAAGAGATTTTGATATAAAGTTCAATCGTTTTAGTAAAAATAATGGCGAGAAAAATACTTACTCTGACGAACTGAAAAGAAACACGATGTCATACTTTCTTTTTCCATAGTTACCTTCGACTGTATTGGTTTGACTGGGAAAATTAACAAATTGCAGTGTTTGACTTGATGTGACACTTGAATTTAACGAAGACACGCTTTACGTCTCATCACTACGGCGTTGTTGGTTGCAACGTTTATGATTGGTTCCGACTCTCTTGTCGGGCGCACTTCTGTTTTAAAACCACTTTGATGGGGAATAGTCCTTCACATGAAGATACGAAATAAACATCTAGGCAAACAAATATAAGGTTGGACAGCATAGTTCAAACAAATATCATATGGAATCACTTCAGTAGGAATGTAGTGACGCAGAAATAAACTAAAAAAATTAACAGCACATCTATATACTCCGCAAAGTCCGCCAATCCAACCTCGCATTCTGAAGAAAACACAATCCTGCAGTTGATAATGACGTCGTCTAGAGCATGTCCACTTTTCCTTCTTGTCAACATCGGAATGATCATGAGAGAATTCATTTCGTGCATGGCTGCATGAAGAGGAGGTTGTCGTCGTTGTCAACAAATATTTTGACCTAGTGGAGACCAAACATACCCTCTCCCGTGACGGGGGCAGCATCTACGCGGTCATTATAGCCGCCAGGGGTAATTGCGTTGTCCGCGTCCGGCACAGCTGTGAGGGGGACGCACGGGTCGTCCTCACATCGCTGGGACATGTCATTCAGAGGAGTGGGGAGTGCGAAGCGAACTTGGATCTGCGGAGGGGAGGCATTGTTGTCGCCTTGGGAAAAAACGGAAAATCTATCTGGCCTGACAAAGTCGACTTCAGCGTCTGGCTGGCCCTTCGTAGGACGTCCACTGAAGGGGCGAGTGTACCAAGACAAGCACTAATACGTCCAGTTGCCTATGCTTGGCGAGTGAACTTGACCGCACATCTAGTTGAATACTTACATCGGCGAAAGGACGAGTAGCTTCTAATGTTACTTTCCTGTGTGTACGGGAGAGAAGCCGCATCCCAACTAATTATCTGCTAGGAGCTATCACAGGTCGATTACAAAACGCGATATCTAATCTTTTAATGCTGCTATGTCGTATTTGTTAGTTGTTTGAATCGGCCCCCTTTGGAGTTCGTAAATAAGCGGGTGCGTCTGACAAAGTACGTTTGATAGTTTTAATAGTTTGTCTGTACTCATATTCTGAATTATGTGCTGGTTGATGAGCGACAGCCTATGAGGGCTCTGCATTGATCCGTACGACACAACGAAACAGGCATGTCTCGTGACCAGATTGACCAGTAGAATTTTACAACACTTAATATTCCGCATCGAAACCGATAGGATAACGGATCCGTGATTCAGTGGTACAGCGTTGGATTGAACAACGTTAGAAAACAGAAGAACTGGGAGGGTTCGACTCCCAGACTTTGCAAGTCTGAAGTTGGATAGGCTTGGCTGACGACGTGCAATAAGCCAGAAACAGTCATCCAGGCCCTGCTATATTTGTTGGAAACCCCTTTCGTACAAACCACTCTTGCTCAGTAATAAGACGGTGTAATTATTCGGAGAACTTACAATTGCTTCGTCTGTAGCCCACACTTTCAAGCAACCGATACGTAATCAAGGATCCAAGGTTCGCCCACATCAGGCAATTAACTTTTCTTTTAATGAAAACTCCCCAATCGTCATAGTTCGTCAGCCCAGCTTGTATCCCGCAAGTTCGCCTGTCAACAATGCGGTCTTCCTTTCTGATCACTGAATCGCTTAACGGGAATCGAATAGTTTGTTCTATCCTCCAGTGAAATCAAGGGAGGAAGAGACCAAATTGTTTCTGCCGTCAAGACATTAAAAAGAAAAGTTCCTGGAAACAGTTCACAATAGTGAGATTCGACTTTTAGAAGAAGGTGTCGTGCACAAAGATGGTACAGCGTTCATGAGATTTTGTGAAGCTTTGGGCTTTGTTCGCAGAGTTTTCCGGATTTTTGTGTGTGAGAGTCGAAAGAGTGCGAGTACGGAAGGAGTTACCGGAAGCATTCATCTTGTTTAGCCTGCCAGTCAAATTGGTCGCTGCTGTGCGGCGGCTGAGTGAAGTACAGGATTTGCGGATTTGCGAATGAGATCTGAATGACAGGCGGACGATGCAGAGACATCCACCGAGTCCGCTAGGTGGAAGACAAATTTCCTGGCTCGAAAAAACAGTCATACTATCATGCAAGTACAATTCCAACATGATTCTCTGGTCAGTGATAGACCTTCTGCAATTCGAAACGGTTTTTGGGTGCACAACAAATGTGGATGTTTCAAAGTGCTGTAAGCAACGTGTGTACCCAAAAATCACGAAACAATATTAATGGGTTCTTGAAGAAGGAGACACGATCGCTGGGACAGGAGCTTTATTAACCTGGCGATTCGGATACCTGCCCGAAGCCATCATCAGAGACAAAAACAGGTACGGGTCTCTGATAATGGGTTCGAGCAGGAATCTAAAACGTCAAGCTAATAAAGCTTTTGTCTCAGCGATCGTGTCTCCTTCTTCAAGACTGCTTCCTGGGACTCGTCTTTTCGCTTCTATTAATGGGGTCCCTAAAATCAAACAGTTCTCCACTTCTCCCTAAGATAGCCAATTTTGCAGGTCGATTTTCTTTTAAAAAACCAAGGATGAGAAAATATGAATGATTCCGATTAATGCAAATGTACCACAGATGTGCTAACTGATGAAATGTTAACCGAGATTTTGATGGATGTTTTCAACGCGAAGTGATTTCTTGAATAGGGTTGTTATATTAATTACTGTGTAGCAAAATCCTAAGATATTCCCGTTACTTGAGATGCTGGCTTTTGAATAATCCTCTATTCGCCTGCCTGAAACACCTACACTCAGTAAAAATATCTACGTATTTAGTGTGAATGTATTTCCCTGATTTCCTCGGCTTTATAAATTCACATGCACCTCATGCATGGAAACATTTAGTCTTCTGTACCTTTGGAAGAAAATTACGTTTTCCTCAAGTTTTATGCCTGAAAGAAGGTTATCACTTTGTTTGGAAAAACTTTTCAAAGCTCCGGATAATTTCGAAACTGACGTGCCGTAAAACCTGCATTCAGAATTTCTAAACTACAAGTTGCATATTCTCCGTGTGCGGGAAATTATGCATTTCTTTACGTTATCAAGAGGAGACCATATTGGGTTTATTAAATTTACCGGTGGTCTTGAGCCAAATTGTAAATGTTACAAGCAAATTTAGCAAATGCAGCGACACGCTGTTTTCCGAACGGATTTTTACATATTACAAAATCCCATTATTAGAAACTTTCCTAAAAATACCAATCTGAAGAAGACTTCATCTTCTTGCAAATGATCAGAACAATAAATATTTTTTTGCATGTTTCTATGAGATGTATGTGAATTTATAAGGCCATCGAAAACCGGAAGTCATTTTTGCAGGCAGCCGGAAAGTAAGTTAAAAAGCCGACATGCCGAAGTAACTGAAATACCTTAGGATTATGCCACACGGGAATTACTATTAAAACCCTACATAAGTAATATTTTTGAGTCGAAAAAGGTCAGTAGAAATTCGGTTAACTTTTCATGATTTAGCACATCTACTAAAACGTTTACACTGTGACGTACCTTTACGAGTACCGAAGATACTCAGAAATAACAAAGGCAGGAAACTGCGGAGGACTATTTAAAATAAGACCCCCAGACTATGCGTAAACTTCTCCTTTACTCCCTAAGGTGTGAGTACTCGCTGGTGCCATTCAGGAGCGACCTACATCGCCACGTTGGACGCGGCCAGATTTCTCGCAGGAATTGATACCTACGTGAGCCGGAAGCTGCTTGAGTACTGGTCCTCCGGTCCGAAATGGCCTCCCTCCTTCGTTTTCTGGGCTGAGACTTTGCCTTGGAAAGGTAATTAGTCATGCAAAGGAGGGCGGACGGCCGACAGTTCCGGTGACAGAGAACTAAATGGTCGAGGGAACATTACGCCAACTGTCAGCGAAGGTGCTAAAATCACGGAAAATAACGACTTCACGGGAATTAGCAGGCTATCTTTGCATTAAATACAACCCCAGCAATGAACGCAGGTGTTGTCAATTATAGTAAGCATGTGATCGCATGGTAACTGCGTCCTTTCAAGACTGCGCATCTTGCACCTCTATTGCTCTTATCTGAGGTCGTCTCTGATGGCGGGTTTGAACTGGAATCCGGAACATCTAACCAATGAAATACTTGTTGCAGACTTTGAATTTTCTCCTACTAAACGCCCTTCCTCGATTTTTTCAGTGTTTTATCAACACTTCAGGTGCATGCCCAGTAGGAATCAGTAACATATAGTCATGCTGCACATTTTCTCATGCCGCCAAACCAGGACGATCTTGACGGTATCTGAAAGAACCAGGTTCTATCGAGAGTGTTAAATAATGTGTCTCTCATTGTCAGCTGTTCGGCTACATCCCGTTTGTTAAAATTGCAGTGAGTAAACGATCTCGTGAAATGCTGGCCGAAATCCTGAACTGCGTTTTCCGTTTGGAAAGATTACTTAGGCGGGGTTGTGGCATGGACTATCTGGCGGCATAATCCTATAATATTTCGGACTCATCAGGATGTCAGCTTTTTAATATATCTCTTTTCGACCTACTGTAGGAACCGCACTCGATAAAAACGACTACTTAAGTCTCATACATTTTTTATGTCGCTTTTCAATGGTCTTATAAATTCAAATATTATTTATAAAAACATGTCGAATAATATACCTTTTTCTTATTTGGTAGAAGATAATATTTTCTTTATATGTTATGTCCGAATAAAATGTATATGTAGGTTTTGAAAAAGTTTCCCAATGACCGAATAATTTTAAGCCAAGTCAGCCGCTGCACTAGCGTTAAGCAATTTCAGTCTACAAGGTGCGGGCTTTCCGATTAAGGAAAATCGTGTATTCCTCTATGCATTTAAAAGTAGGATATAGAGTTCATATAATTTTGTAATGGATGCGGGCTATGTTGTACCTCTTAAAAAAAGCATCGGCAAACGGACAAGACATTGCGCTTTCTTAAAACGTCTCAAAATGAAATCTTTTTCAAAATATTAATACACATTTTCTTTGAGTATAAAATGGTAAGGCAGCAGGATTTTCCATCAAACGAGCAAAAACAGACACATTTGTGAATTTATAGACCAACAAAAATCAAAGTAAAAATGCATACTAATTAAGTATTTATTTTTACCGAGCGCGATTTCACAGGAGGTCGAAAAGAAGTGCATTCAAAGTCGACATCCTGGTGAGTCTGAAATATTATGGGATTATGCCCCATGATAATAATACAATTACCTATGTAATCCTTCCCAATGGAAAACATATTTCAGAATTTCGGCCGACATTTTCTGAGACCGGTCATTCACTGTGGCTCTTCGAGAGTAGTTTTAGGACATGAATATCCCTGTTCAATATGTTTTTGAATACTTCTTGCTACTGAACTATGGCGCGCATAATAAAACGGACCTTTAACAGCACATGGATATTTAGATACCGTGAAGATGTATAAGGGTAGGTTACATCTTTCCGTGAGCACTGTCGCAGAGTTTCTTTAGATGGATTACCTCAGACTTCAATAAAAAGCCGAAAACGCCCCACAAGTGCATCAATAGTCCCATTTTATGCGCCACTAGGACGTAACCAAGTCGAATGACTCCTGAACTTATAGTCATGCCAGAACGGCTTGGAATCAGTTTGGGAACTTTGATGAACATCCAACGCCTGCATGATTGCACGCGCATAAAATGGTCTACGCCTGGAAATCGGATGTAGTACCTGTCATTCGACTTCTGGTGTACAAGGTGCTAAACGTACACAGCAACAACCGACTTAAGGTCAGACATAGAAATCTCCCTGTTGCAGAGGAGTAGGTTGTAGTGTCTTGTCCCCTTCAGGTTGTGCATCATTTTTAATTAAGTTGGTGATCTAAGGGTAACATTGCTGTCGCTAATGCTAAGCGTCTGGCTCCATTCGCAACGAGGATATGCACTGCTGATGAGTTCTGAATTGGGGCTACACAAGGTGGGCAATCCGGAAAAAATCCATTTTCGAACGCACACGGCAGCTGTCAGATGCAAGTGGCCCAGAAATTAAAAAGAGCTACTGGTTAATTTCTTAGTCCCAAAAACCGACGAATTTCAAACTTGTTCGTGCGCAGTAGTTTGCAAACAATGGAAGGGCAAATGAAATGGTCATTCCCGGCTTCATTCTGCCATTATGTAGCTGCAAGTGAAACAGAGACAGAGTCAAGCTGAGGTTTGCACACAGCACCGAAGTTTGACCGTTATGTCCGACGATGTCCACCGTGTTATCCACAGCAAGATGAAGCAGGCACGGTGACTTACGCCTGTTTTCTTTTATAGTGATAGTAGACTTGCGTAGTATCTGCCGCACTCTCTCTCCTCCCCACCTGTACTCGGTCTCAAGACATACAGTGCGTGACCTATCTCATGAAATGATCGCTGAAATTTTGAAATGCGTTTTCGATTAGGAAGGATTACTTGGTCGCGGTTGTGATACTGATTATCGTAAGGCATACTCTTATAACATTTCCCACTCGGCAGGATGTCGGCTTTTAAATGCACTTCTTTTCAATCTCCTGTAGAAAGCGTGCTCGGTAAAAAATGACTACTTAAGTGGCATGCGTTTTTCCCATTGATTTTTGATGGTCTTGGAAATTCAAATATATTTTATAGAAACCATAAACAAAAATATGCTTTCTTTTAGTCAATCAATAGAGATTCACGTCTTCTTTATATTTTATACTTAAGAAAGGAGTATAATTAGGTTTTAAAAAAGTTTTCTAATTGCCGAAAAATTTGGAGCCTAATCATTCGTGGAATTAGCGCTTAGTGATTACTCTCTACAAGGTGCATGCGTTCCGCGTAAAGAAAATCCTATATTTTTCTATGTCATTAAATAGATATCATACAGTGTCCATAAAATTTTGCAATGGATGCGGACCATGTTGTACATTTTATGAGGAGCAGTGGTAAACGACCAGGTACGATGCCATGTGAATGAACATTTCGCGGTCATAAAAAGTCTCATAATTAAAAACTTTTTTAAAACCTAATTATACTCTTTCCTTAAATATAAAATAAAAAGAAGACGTGATTCTTTATTGATTGACTAAAAGAAAGCATAGTTTGTTTGTGGTTTCTATAAAATATATTTGAATCTCCAGGAGTATCGAAAATAAATGGGAAAAATGCATGCTACTTAAGTAGTCATTTTTTACCGAGCACGATTTCTACAGGAGGTTAAAAAGAAGCGCATTTAAAAGTTGACATCCTGCCGAATCCAAAATGTTATAAGAGTATGCCTTAAGATAATCAGTATCACAACCGCGACCAAGTAATCCTTCCTAATCGAAAACGCATTTGAAAATTTCGGCCAACATTTCATGAGATAGGTCACGCACTGTAGTCAAGAAGATGGGAGGCAGGGAGGGCGCAGGTGACCGCTGCGGCCGAAAGCGCACCTAGGCGTGCCACCACACTCCCTGGTCAACAACAAACACATGAGGAGGGTTTTTACCATCAGCTTCACAACAACGGGTCAAAAGGACAAGGATGACTGAGCACCCATCCTCACCCAGCGGGAGTGCAGGCGTTATCTACCGTCATGAAACCAGGTACCAGATAACCGCCAGCGCACACCCGGCTGCAGGGGCATGGTTTGCTGACCATGGCAACGCAGACGCTCACAAACCTTAAGGTTCACGAATATAGTCATATAAATGTGGTGACCCTTGTCTCCCAAATCTATCATTTGAATAATTGATCGGATGTGGTTTGGTAGCCCCACCTGAAGTAAGCAAACCCCAGTCACGCCTAATACGGGACAGGTGGTTATAGGGGTTTTCGCCGGTGGAGCCCGAAACGCACAGACGAAGAGGTCAAGTAGTTGTATGTAAAAGAAAAGCTATTGAGGATGCGGGGTTTCATTTTGAGCGGTTGACAAATAGTTGCGCTGACCTCTGACCCTAACCCTAACCCCTCATTAAAATCCCTCATCTAAAACCCTAACCCTTAATCCCAGCCCCAACAGTATTGTGTCCATCAGGTGGGGCTACCAAACCACATCTTACCGAATAATTCTAGGCAAAGAGAAACAGCGTTCAATTGACTGAACTTACCTTATCTCCCTCCTGTTCACATTTACCAGTAGCCGTAAACTGCTACAGTAATGGTTTGCCGGCCCTCATCCAATCAACCAGCGCATCGACCACCCCGCTTCATATATGGCGCTGAGACTTGGACTAGGCAAAGTAGTTAGTCGCGAGGAGAGCGGATGAATAACCACTGTCCCCTGTATCAATGCCCTTGAGACCACAGGACTGACGAAGTCCGGTAGTCAGCCCCTCGACGGCGTGTGTTGAGGGTGGGAACCGATAATCTTGACCGGCACATAGGCGCATAGCAACTGCATACTTCAACACCTGGCCAGTCTGGCTGTGATACAATCGGGGACTGCCAACTGTGACAGGCATGTAGCGGCCTAGCAACTACATCCTATAGATATTACAACACCAGGAATCCACTACCCTTATCTGGCTCTGTCTCTGATAATCGATTAGAGTGAGAATTCAAAACGTCAGGTTAACAAACCGCTTGCTTCAGCGACCGTAACAGTAACTGGTTTTTTTGAGTAGCTGAAAAGTAATAGTACCGTTCGTGCCAGGCATGATATCGTCCAACTGTCACTCTAAAATCCTTTCCATTCCCATTATGCAAGTTCGCTTTGTAGTGAATTCCCGGCCGGCAGTGCATGGGAGGAAGCTGTGTCAAGATCGCCTGGCCCTCTTTTCATTCTTAACTCAGTCTCGTCTCAGTCTCATTGTGCTAATTGTTCGTTGCCACGCAACCGTCTACAAGAGCAGTGTACATGAGCTTCAAGAACTCACTCATTTCGTCCTGAAATCAGACCAGGTCAGTTAACTTAACTGCTACCTGATTCTTGCTTGCGGACTATGAGCAGCCTTTAAGTGTATGCAGCGTGACACATTCTACTCCAGTCCGCAAGTCTAAGCACTCACCCGAGACATTTCAGGCAAACTTCTTTACTAAAAAGTCAGGAATTGTATAATGGACGGGAGTGGCTGTGTGCCGCCCGGCGTTTTTGCCACTACCTGTCAATTTCGCGGGGAGCTCGGACGTACAGAACTTCTTACAGGGACTGGGGGAGTCGCATTTGCGAGTGGAGTGTTTACTACAACCAGGCTGCCGGTCAGCAGATGTGTAGAATGAGTCCACAGGTGACTCGTTTGTGGGCATAAGTGGCTATGCTTCGTCCGGTTCCACCTTTGCTTACTCGACTTGCACTGCCATTTTAATTGCCCCCTCCCCCCTGTCCATCTAGCTTCACGCACGCAATGTGTCGCATTGGGGTTATCCGGGGGGGGGGGGAGGTAAGGGGGGTCGCTGGCCCATACCTGGGTTTACTCAGCCCTACGCACAGACCATGAATCATCGCTGCAACAGGCATGACTGAGTTAGCGGACAGTTCAGTGAGTTCGGATGAGATTGAATGGGCGTGGTACGGTTAAGAAGGGCAACCCTCTCCCACAACTACATGTGCGTCCGTAGAAGACTGTCGGGAGTTCATTCGCACTGTTTCTGCTCCCTAAGCATCGAGCGTGATGCCATTCATCAGAGACGTGGGCACCAGACTATTGAAGCGTTTGTCAATACTCGGCAACTGACCGGAACAGGGAATGTCGATCAAATGTGGAAAAGTTGGCGGTCTTGGTGCGATTCGAACCCAGGATTACAAGGGTACGGCTTTAGTGCAGACAATAATGCCCTGACTGGGAGCTTCGGATTCGTCTAGGCGAGGACGCAGCATGCGACCTCACTCAGGGAACAAAACCGGGTCATCGTGTAATACAAGTGTTATGGATGGGACTAGACGGCGGAGAGGACAGCGCGATAGAACGTAAACATTCATACAAATTTTGAGGTGGCACATTGCGTCCACGCGTAAAAGGCCTCGCCTCTCGAAGGCTTTCCACTGGACTTCTCCCGTGCTGACGTGCTCGACACCTACAAAAAGGACGCAATAAAAAGGTCCGCATGATGACATCATTTGATTATACGCCACAGGGGTACAGAGACGCGTCTTCTAGACTGACCATCGCAATTTTTTAAATGTTCTATCCAGAAAGTAATTTGTGGTTCTGGAAACATACAGTTTTGAATAATTATCACGTAATTGAGGGGTTTCTTCTGACTCTTAGGGGTGCACGTTCTTGGCTTTCTTGTGTTATTACGGAATTTGTCTTTCTCTCCAATCCCTTGGCTACCGAGGTCAGAATGTTCAGAATCTAAGGGTCACTGATTTATTTTGGAAACGGACTGCCTCCCTAAGACTTTTTATTCGAATTCTGCCGTACAGACGTGCTAGACTCCTGCAGAGAGGCTGCAATATAAAGGTCCACGTGCTGACTGACCTCCATTGATTGTCCAGTTTTGAACGTCCACTTTTGAAAGAGCCACTGGCAAATTGTTCAGTGTAAACCGTATCGAAAACATAGACCTCACACCTCTGCCTCTGAAAAATATCCTTTATGTTTTAAGCGCGTCAGGTAGGCAGAAAATGAGCATTTCCCTATAGACGTCATGACGAGCTAAATACTAATCTCAACATTCATTATTACCAGTCCCCATGTGACTGCCCGAAATGGCTGCAGATTGAGTCTCAAAGCCGAATGCAAGGAGTATGTCTCTTAACGTGATCGGTGAAGGTGCATTTCACGCTATCAACTAACTCGTAGGCCTGCAGACATTTAGCCATTGGGAGGAACTTCCCAGGTCGGCTGATCGGTTTACGGACGCGTCGAACATATTTCCTGACTGAATGCGTTCAGTTACTCGGCCTAGGCTTTCGACAGACTTCATAGAACTGACTTGGAGTTTTCAAGAAAGAATCGTATCTTAGTGACAGTTCGACCATCGGTTTCGATGATGTTCACCGTGTGCCCCACTGTTGCAGCAGCAATGGGAGCATGGACGGTGACTTACGCCGGGGTTTATAGTGCCGGTAGACATGCGTAGCATCTACCTACACTCTCTCCTCCTCCCTCGCCCGAGCCCGGTGTCAAGACAGAGTCAAGAAGACCGGAGACGAGAGAGGCCACAGGTGGATGGCTCGGACGGATCCTCACCTTGGCGTTCCACCACACCCCCTGGTCCACACAACAAATAACCAGGATTTCAACCAACACAAGAGAGATTTGGAGGCTGGCACGACCGAAGCCGCACCTGGGCGTGCCGCAAACGCCTGGCTCGGATCCCACACTGTGATGGGAGTGCCATAAAGGCCACATTAAAAAGGAGCCATTGCAGCCTGACTCTCAGACCGCCACGGTCAAGGAGGAGGTCCAAGTTACCCCGTCAGTTGGCAACCTTTCAAGCCACGGCTTTTAGCGCACCGTGATAGCTTCAAGCGCGTCAGATTGTTTATAGTGAGGAGAAAATGCGCTGAGTCGTCGACCTCACTCTCCCTTCCCACTCCCACACCCCAGCCGCTGTCCGAGCCGATCAGCAGACTGGAGTGGGGAATGGGCGCGGTGGCTGTCATGGTCGACTGACCATGACTGCGCGCGCCACGGCACGACCTGGCCCCCCATACACACAACACCAGGATTTCACACAACGGGGGTTGAACGGCGTGTCTCTCACTTGCGTGAGAGTGCCGTGAAAGGTGCTGTTTCAGCCCGCTCCCAGCCCACCAGTCCGTCACTCCACACAACACACACACATACAACGCGACGAACTGCGTGAACCGAGAGCGGGCGTCAATCAGCAACCTTCCTATCCACGACGCTTGACGTGTCGGGATAGTCTCGGACTCAAGTCACCCGTGCAGCCAGAGCCGCATGGAGACCGAGTCGAGATGCACACTTCCCACTTGCGTGGGAGGTGGCAGTTGGGTGCATGAGGTGTGTGAGTGTTTATTTCTGGTGGGTGATGGTGTTAGGAGGTAGGGAGTGAGTGAATGTGTGGTGTGGCCGGCGGTTGTCTACCGCAGGTCGTCGTGGATGCGCATGTGGCCGAATAAGCCCATGCGATGCCTGAAAGTGCGAGGGCAGTGTGGGCAGTTGAGAAGAGCTTGGTGGGTATAGGTGGGTGCTCCAGACACTTGTTCGCCAGTCCCTGTGCGATGGATTCGCAAGTGACCGACCAGGCCGATGCGTGAGGTGAATGTGCGTGGACAGTGTGGACATGAGAAGTCGGCGGTGTCAGTGTCAGCTACAGATGAGGCGGTGGTGGTGGTGGCGCGGACGAATGGAACGAGGGTGGGGGTGTGCACGGTGGATGTGTTGGATGTGGTGGGTGTGTAGGGAGTGCGGTCAAGGCCGCTCTCGTGGATGCGCATGTGGCCGAAAAGGCCCATGCGATGCCTGAAGGTGCGAGGGCAGTGTGGGCAGTGGAGGCGAGTGCGGTGGGTGTAGGTTGGTGCTTCACGCACTGGTTCGCCAGTCTCTATGCGATGGATCCGCAAGTGACCGACCAGGCCGATGTGTGAGGTGAAGGTACGGTCGCAGTGAGGGCAGGTGTAGTCCTGATCCTCATCCCTGGTGTTGGGGGAGGTGGTGGTAGTGTCGGTTGCTGTGCGCGGGACAGTCGCCTGAGCGGCCGCCGTTGGAGCAATGGGCGAAGAGGTGGAGGAGGAGGAGGAGGAGGAGAAGAAGTAGGAGGAGGATGATGATGGAAGTGGTGGGTCAGAAGAATTGTCAGGGTTAGTTGGCGGCAGAGAGGAGGAGGAAGAGGCAGGCAAGGGGACGATGGTTGGTGCCGTTCGAGAGGCGCAGTTAACCCGAAGATGTCCAACAAGTCCGATTCGAGCCCGGAATGTCCGCTGACATCGAGGACACGTTGGAAGCGGTTGTGCGGCGGCGTTGCTTACTGTGTGAAGTTGTGATTTGCGGGCTTCACGTTTCGCTTTGGCGGCAGCGATGCGGTTGGCTTCGTAGATCGCAGCGCCTGTCTTCACTGTCCTCCTCCAGGTCGGTCGATCGAGTGCGAGCTCCTCCCAGTTGGTGGGTTTGATTTGCAGGCATTTCAGGGAGGACTTCAGGGTATCCTTGTAACGGCGAATCGGGCCTCCTTGACGGCGAGAACCCGTCGCGACGTCTCCGTAGAAGAGTCGTTTGGGTAGTCGCTCGTCGTCCATGCGCGCAAGGTGGCCGCTCCAGCGCAGCTGAATTTGCCTCATTATGGCGTAGATGCTGAGGGTTCCCGTCCTTTCCAGCACATCAGTGTCGGGGATTCGATCCTGCCACTTTAGCCTCAGGATGCGACGAAGACAACTAAGGTGGAAGTGGTTCAGACGACGTGCCTGCTTTGCGTCCACCGTCCAAGTCTCCGCTCCATACAGCAGTGTCGGCAGGATGACGGCCTTGTACATCTTCAGATTCGTGCTCAGCTGAAGACCGTGACGATTCCAAACTGTGCTTTGGAGGCGACCGAAGGCTTGACTGGCTTTCGAGATCCTGTTGGCGACTTCGTCGTCGATCTTGGTGTTGCGGGAGAGAGTACTGCCCAGGTATGGGAAGTTCTCCACCACTTGCAGTTGGGTTCCGTTAACGCTGATTTGCAGCGGCGCGTTGGGGGTTGTGGCTGAGTTGGGTGGCGGTTGGTGCATCACCACCGTCTTCTGCGTGTTAATGACCAGACCGCAGTTCTCGCAGGCGGCGGAGAACAGGTCCATGCTCCGTTGCATCTCCTCTTCCGAGGTGGTGTTCAGGGCGCAGTCGTCGGCGAAGAGGAGTTCGTGCACGGTGGCTGTGGATACGCGCGATTGGAAGTGCATTCGCCGTTGATTAAGCAGGTGACCGTCCGTCCTGTAGGCGATGCGGATCCCGGGGCGTTCGTCGCGGTAGGCGTCCATCAGCATGGCAGAGAACATAAGACTGAAGAGGGTAGGCGCCAGTACGCATCCCTGCTTCATTCCATTGGTCACTGCGAATGCCTCTGAGACAGCTCCGTTGTCCGTGACTCGCGCCATCATACCGTCGTGCAGCTGACGCACCATCTGAGTGAATCGCTCCGGACAGCCGAATTTCTGCATGATCTTCCACAGTCCTTCACGATTCCCCGTGTCGAAGGCTTTCCTCAGCTCCACGGAGGTAGAGTACAGGTGGGTCCGCATCTCCTGAAACTTCTCCTGAAGTTGGCGGGCGGCGAAGATCATATCCGTGGTGCCACGATGACGACGGAAGCCGCATTGGCTTTCCGGCAGAAGGCCCTGTTCGAGATGGTTATTGAGGCGGTTGAGGAGGATTCGTGCGAAGATCTTCCCGGCGATGTTCAGTAGGGAGATGCCGCGGTGATTGTCGCAGATTTGGCGATTCCCTTTTCGCTTGTAGAGATGCACGATGGTTGCGTCTTTGAAGTCTTGCGGCACTTCACCTAGACGCCACATCTCCTGGAATAGCGCAGTCAGGTGATCCATCAGTTGAGGACCTGCGTGCTTGTAGACCTCAGCAGGGATTGCGTCCGATCCGGGTGCTTTCCCGCTGGAGAGCTGCTGCACGGCCCTGATGGTTTACTGGAGAGATGGCGGGAGATCGAGGTCCACGTTGGTCTCCACTTGCGGCAAACGTTTGATGGCGGCTTTGGAGATGACGGAGGGGCGGTTGAGGGCGCCTCGGAAATGCTCGGCCCATCGCTGCAGGATTTGCGTCTTCTCAGTCAGGAGAGTGTTGCCGTCGGCGCTGAGGAGAGGAGCAGTGCCGTTCGTCGCCGGACGGTAGACAGCTTTGATCGCAGAGAAGAAGTTCTTCCATTCGTTGCGGTCCGCGTACCCTTGGATCTCCTCAGCTTTGCGAGCAGTCCAGGCGTCCTGCATCTCGCGCAGTCGTTGCTGAAGTTGGCGGCCACTGCGGTAGAAGGCAGCTTTGTTGTCCTCAGTAGGGTGATATACGTAGGCTTTGTGTAGGTGGTTCTTCTCAGCCAGCA